TACAGAGGGCTTATTTTTTGTCCAGGAGGCCTGTTGTTTGTCTAGGGGGCCTGCTAGGCTTCCTTTTTGTTCAAGATCATTCTAATTGTCCAGGGACTATCTTTTTGGACAGGAAACCTCCTATTTTGACAGGGGGCTTCCTATTTGCCAATGGTGCATCCAAATTTCCAATTGCCTGGGGTTGTTTGTCTTCTGCCCACCAGGAAGCTCTCTAACCAGTGCAGCAACCTCACCAGGTTGACTCACCTCTCCTATTCCAACCTCCAACCTCTCTCCTATTCTAAGGGATCTAAGCTTGCACAAGAGTCGACGGTGAGGCACTGTATCGAAGGCCTTTGAGAAGTCTAGGTAGATCGCATCAACAGACTCTCCTCGATCCAGTGCCTTCGTCCAGTCTTCGATCGTGACCAGCAGCTGGGTTGCACAGGAGCGCCTTGGGCAGACCATGCTCTGCATTGTTTGGTTGTGTCCATGTGCTCAACAATGTGATCTCAAACAATCGACTCAAGGACCTTACACGGGATTGCAGTCAGACTCACTGGCCTGTAGTTGGCAGGAGATTGCTTGTTGCCTTTCTTGAATATTGGGACAATATTCAATGTATTATTGGTATATTGGGACAATATTAACATGTTCAAACGAAGATTAGACCAACACAGGGCTGCCAAACCTGCATCCTCACGCCACAACTGACCTTATGGCTCATTTCCTAGTCCGGCTCGATGTGAGCATTGAATAGACCTCTGACCTAGTCTACTACAGCTCACTAATGCTCAACTTCAACTTCAAGTTCAACTTCAACCCCCTGACTTTCAGTCCAGGGGTAGTTCTGCTGTCTGCAACAACTCATTGAACAGCTGTGTCGGTGATGGAGCTATGATATGAGCAGTCTCGGTAAGTATCAACTATCATCAATAAAATATCAACTATCAACAATAAAAGAAATCCAGAAACCCAATTGTTGTTGTTGAAGATGAAGAGTTACGGCACGCAGCAGCTCAGAAATTGAAATCCAAACTATAGGAAGCATAGGTAGTATAGGTATCAGGGATGCGGAGCCGGAGCCGGAGCCGCCGGAGCCGGCATATTTTGCCCGGAGCCGGAGCCGGAGCCATGAAACAATATAGCCCGGAACCGGAGCCGTCAAAAAAGGGGCGACTCCGGCTCCTTTTCTTAAGAGGAAACAATTATTTACCTAGTTCGGTTTGACAGTACAAGGCGTAAAACAATGTGGTATTCAAAATAGCCTTGTTATACAAATACAGAAGCAACGTGCAGTGTGCACCAATCCCATCACCTTTTTTCTTCCACCCGTATTTAATTGATCGTATAGGGGATGTACTGAGTAGAAGCCGGAGCCGGAGCCGCTGGAGCCGGATCATTTTACTCGGAGCCGGAGCCGGAGCCGCCATGACATTTCACCCGGAGCCGGAGCCGGAGCCGGAGCCGATTTTTTCTCCGGAGCCGGAGCCGGAGCCGGAGCCGTCTGAAATTTCCACGGCTCCGCATCCCTGATAGGTATATATCTAAAATCAACACATTACCTTTTCCCCTCTCTTCCTCCTAGAGCGTTTCTTCCAGCAAATTCACTTCCAAGGGAATTGCAAGGCTATAGAACTCCGGGGAATTGCTTTATTTCAATTTGTCTTGGTATGCTTGTTAAATTGAAATGCAAGGTTAAATGCTAATACTCGAAGCCCCTCGGCATATTGTGTTCTACATGAACCTGGTAATGCTTCAATCCCAAGTAGCGTAGCAACTTCGTAGCAGCTAACAATGTAAAGTGCATGTAAAGATGATGTAAAAGATGCTTTTCCTGCTGCTGCTGATGCTGTGATGAATAGCACTATATGTCGCAGAAGCGCATTGTTTGTAAACAATGATTTCGCCCTGTGAAATTTGGGCGGCGTTCGATGTCTCCCGGACGGCAAAGATTCTTTGCTGTCCGGCCAACCACGTCCAAGGTCAGCGGGGGCTCGGCTGCGGTTATGAAACGTGATTGGCCGAACGGCGTAGAATCTTCGCCGTCCGAGAGACATCGAACGCGGGGTTGTTCACTGATATCAATGCATGTAAATCATATAACAAATAACGGTATCAGCATGGATGAAGTAGTACCTGGATCGGCAACTCCTCGATGTTTGTGACCACCGCTAGGTGGCAGTGGTGTCGAGCGCTAAGGACGCGGGGGAGCGGGTGCTATTCAAAACAATGGTCGGCGTCGCGTCGTAGGATCGTTTGCCTTGTTTTTTGAAAAGTTAAGCCCCTTTGGAGCAGATTGGAAGGTTTCAGAAGATGGAGGAAGATGGCAAGGTAAGATTGGTAAGGTTTTCTTGTGGTTGGAGGGTCTGAGTGGCCTAAAATATTACTGTAAAGAGCGGCTGTTGACGATACTGGCGCACATTGCTTCTCGCCGTATGTCGTTAAAAATCGTATAATTTCCGTAATTGGAATGGTTAATCACTTATTTATATGTTAATTTTATGTTTGTATATGTTTGTTATATGTTTGACACATCATATCTCAAGCTTTTACATGCCGCTAATATAGCCATGGTTTTGCTTGCGATACAATTTCGGTCTTGGCAGCGCATGATAGGTGGTGGATGATGCATTGTTAGTTGTGAATTGCTTAAGTTTTTGTTAAGTTTTTAGGTTAGCAAAATCAGTTAGTGTGCCATTATTTTTTAACTCAATATTTGTTCAACTCTTGAAAATAGTTTCTGTTTTATATTGTGTAGTGCCAATACCTATAAATTGGTCCACTGCTCACTGCTCAGTACTCACTGCTCACCCATATCAGTTTCCTACGTATTTCTCTGAACGGCTGACTAGAGTGCAACACACTTCAGGACTCAGGAGCAGTTAACTGGCATCATGTCATTTCAGCTAATTTTTATAACCTGCTTGCCAATGCCTTGATTTCATAAATAGTTGAATGATATTGAATAAAAAAAACACATTTGAATAAATCATATTATCAGCATGAAAAACTGAACCATTTGACTGTAAAAAGAAAGCCTAATGGCAGCCAGTGTCAACCACAAATGACAAAAGAGTGCCGACCCTGGTCCCTGACATCAGCTTCCTTCTTTTCTCAAAGTCAAAAGGTCCAGAGTTGTACGAAGAAGTTTGTGAGTTTCCCTCCATTGACTGATATATAACAAATCACTTTTTCAGAACGTGTGCTAGCCAAACTGTGTGTAGATATCAGATAGATTTAAGCAAGATCAAAACCATTTTAAACTATGTAAGCCTACCATATGAGGTGTTAAGCTTTTAGGTACTTTTGTTTGGTAGTATCTTGTCAAGGTATTATTATTATTTTTTTTTTTTGCCAACATCATCGCAATGTAAAACACTTTTTTGTGATGTTGTGGGGAAACAGTTTGCCTTGGAATGCCCTCACTCTCCCTTTCATTATGGTATGCTCAGGTATCTAATTTCCCTCTCTCACTCTTTGTTTCAGATCAATGAGATGGGTTCAGTTTCCACGGTGTGCTGACTTGAATTGGCATCCTGTGATTTGTGATGTGAATTATGATGCACGCACACGCAGGTGCACGCCCACTGCGGACACGTGTGACGTAACGGCAGCAGGCGGACGGGGTGTGAACTGGCTCGACCGAAAATGTTTAAGGTATCACAGCGTTTGTAACTGACTAACATACCCACTACGCCCTACGGGCATACCCATTGAGCGGATAATGCGTTCGTGTGCATCGTGTTTGCATTTATTCCCGATATACTCTGGTGGGAGATGTGAATTGGAAACCAACTTGGTGCTACGACACCGTTTAAGGCATGTGGCACGTCGTTTCTCGAAACCTACCTATCAGTTTATGCAATAATATGCATTGTATACATTGTGTGTCATCTTTCACCTTAGTTGTCATTGAACCTGTGTTAAATTCTGAACTTCAGGCCGAGACAGACTATTTCCACAGTCAGGAAATCGCAAACGAGAGCCTATTCAAATCCATTAAGTTGCAATAGCATCAATCGCACGCAAGGAGGTGCGTGTTATGGATGCGAGTGCGACCGGGGTTTATTTGAATAGGCTCTCAGTCTCGCACATGATTTCTGACTGCGGAAAGAGTCGGTTTCAGCCTGTACTCAGTAGGCAATTCGCTCATGCGACGGCAAATATAAGTTCAATATAGAAACAGCTTTTTTTAACGAAACGGCATATGATGAGCTTATAATCCTGGAATGCTTCTTGATAGAAATTGTAAGTGATGCAGATGTTCGTTAATCGATATGACAGCATTTGTCTTGATCTTTATAAGTCAGTCAAAATGGCTGTGGCAATGATTTGGATGTTTCACGGCGGACGGCACATTCCCTCTGCAGACGACTGAGTCGGAATGCTCATTGCTCATTGCTCAAGCTGATCAGGGGCAACCCGAGTGATAGACAAAGTCGTTTGATCGAAGGTATTTTCAGGCAGCTGGCAGAAGGCGCCTGGCCTGGCCATGAGAGCTAACAATACGACGTGCTGAGGTAAAATCGGCCAGTCGCGCTCGGTAAACGACCCACCACACCATTCTTTCCAAAACGATACATAGTCTACGGAACCGCCCTGGACCGCTCTTCCGGAACCCGACACTGTTGGCCTATGCCAAACTTAGCCGGGGCTGGTTCAGGCCATGTAACTTGCCGGTCATTTTCGGACTTTGCTGGTATCGGCCGCTGTCTGACTGGGCGGCGGCGGCGGGCTGTCCTTAGCAGGGATCAGTCTGCTCGATAGGTGGCAGCACTTTCGGGCGGTCGCGCAATACAATGGGAATTCCGCGGAGTTGCCGATCCAGGTAGTAGGTAATCCATGGTATCAGTCAAGCATAGATATAAAAACTTTATTTGTATCGTCTATTGCAGACTATTGACTATCACTATCGCATAGTCTTTTCTTTATTTCTATGCAGCCAAGGCTATGTAAACCAAAACCAAATGTAAACCAAGGCCAAGGTCAAGGTGTATCAGCTCAGCTGTATTGGCGAGAAGGTTTTGGTGCAGAGATGTATATGATATGCCCTGAGGGCCCTTAGATGAATCACGATAATTGTAATAAAAAGACGACAGGCCTTCACTTAATATATAGGCCTTAATATACCCTGGACAGGCCAAGGCCCGACAGGCGCTATTTTCATTTTGAGATACCGAATGTCCAGGGTACCAGGGTCCTCTGGATTTAGCATCTACAGAGCTTTTTACATCATCTTAATTCTTGTGAGCCCTCAGGATTTTTCTGCACTCTTAATACAGGATGGCTGGAAACTATTATTTTGCCATAGTGGGTGACAAAGATAACCCAATTTTTGAAATGGAAATATCTCCACCAAGCAAAGAAGCCAAGGTTTGTACTTACTGTTTGATATTTGAATAAAACTTTGAAGGTGCTGACAGTTAGCTTGTATTTATGTATATATGTATGTATGTATGTATGTATTTGTGTATTATGTATTTTCTTTCCCTCCCCCTCCCCCTCCCTCTGTGTTGTTTCCTGTTATTGCCAATGTAACTTATGGCAATCCTCATACCGTTTCAGAAAGAAGATCACAGACATCTGAGCCAGTTTATTGCCCATGCGGCTCTAGATTTGGTGGACGAACAGATGTGGAGCACCTCAGCGATGTACCTCAAGGTGGGCGCTTGACCACAGACATATTCACTGCCCACTGGCACCTTGCTTGGGCTCTGGACCTCTCAGGTCTAGGTCTGTCTGGAAAATGGTAGGTAGCAGTTGTTCATCCCTTCTCACCTGGCTCCTCATGATGATTATGATTTAGTTTGAAAGGGTGCACCAGCACAGACTGGGAAAAAGATACAAGCTATGCTGAATATGTTTGGTGTAGTGGCAGGACTATGCCAAACATTTTGGCGTACGTCCTTTGTAACTTCACATGCGCCGAATTCAGCGCATGGTGGCGGCTGAATTTTTCGGCGAATGGCGGTCACCGTTTTTTTTTCGCCACACTGGTCAATAAAGCAGCACAATCGCCCTGCAGGCGGCTCTGGAAAGGGCTCAGGACGAGACGTCCCCCGCCCCGGTCGTCGCTGCTCCGACTTGCGAGCCGACCTCCACCCTCGGTGCGGAGATATGGAAGATCTTGCTGAATATTGCTGAGCGCCATGAAATAGGTAATCTTGCAGTGGGCTTCTGCCCACTGCGGGATCGGGGGTGGTCGCCCACTCGCTGACCCGGGCGGTTCATCGTGCGCCCTCCCATCTGGTGGGCCGAATCTGGTTTTACTCTGGCTGGCTTCGTCATTTACTCCGGCCGAAGTACGGTCAAGGTCTGGAGCTCTACTGGAGCTGAGTGCTGACCCACGATCCCAGAGCTCGCCCGCACCACAGCCGGACTTATGCCGTATCAGCCGTGTCGTACCTCAACCGTACTTCAGCCACAGTAAGCCAGAGCATCTACGAAGCAACCGGATCTGGCTGTAGCACGCCGTGGCAGGGAACCGGACTTGAGCCGGACTTGGTGGTCCGAAACCATACCAACTCAGGAGCGCTACGGCAAAGACTGGCCAACCGGACTTGAGCCACATCGACCCAAACCCCCTGTTCCGACGGCGTTCCGTTTGCACCGGCCCAAATCTGGCACGTCGGAGTTGCCGGGACAAAACGGGCTTGGGCCTTGGGCCAAATCAAATTGCTGGCTGGGCTTGCGTCAGTGGCGCGATAATGGGCCCGAGGCCGAGTCATTATTCAAGCCACCTTTCGGAAGCACGCCTGACGCTCCCACCCCCGGAGAGGGCCAAGAGGCCGCATTTTCGGTGTATCAGATGAGGGCGGGCCACCGGGGCCGCACGCTCCAGTAAAAGCACCAAATCGGCCGTCTCCCCTCCGTGGCGTGCCAGCAGTGCCCGGACAAACAGTGCCCCGCGGCGCTCTGCGCCGTGTGCCGAGAAGAGGCTGATGTCCCGGAGCACGTGCCGTCCGGCGAGTGCGGCGTATGTCAGCTCACACTACCCGTGCGTTTCCAGTCTTTTTGTGTTTGTAGACGTTCAAACATGTGAAAGAAGAGCCTCTCAGACCATTAATCTCAGGGGGCTTTTGTGGCCAGTATAAATAAAAGGGCCTCTCAGACCATCAGTCTCGGGGGCCTACTTAGAACAGTGTGGATAGAGGGGCCTCCTCAGATTCACTATAGGACCTCTATGACCACCAGTCTCAGGGACCTGTGGCCAGTATGAATATAAGAGCCTCTCTGACCATCAGACTCAGGGGCCTCTTCTGACTAGTGTGGATAGAGGGCCCTCCCAGACCACCGGTTTCATGGGCCTCCTGTGGCCAGTATGAACAGAAGGGCCTCACAGTCCATCAGTCTCAGGGGCCTCTTCTGCCTGGTGTGAATATGAGGGCCTCTAGACCATCAGTCTCGGGGCCTCCTCTGCCTAGTGTGAATATAAGGGCTTCACAGGCCATCGGTCTCAGGTGACTCTTCTTAGTGTGGATAGAGGGACCTCCCAGACCACAAGCCTCAGGGGTCTCCTGTGGTCAGTATGAATAGAAGGGCCTCTCAGTTTATCAGTCTCATGGGCTTCCTCTGCCTGGTGTGATTATAAGGGCCTCTCAGACCATTAGTCTCAGCCTCAGGGGCCTCCTCTGATTACAGTGTATATGGAGGGGTCTCCCAGACCATCAGTCTCAGGGGCCTCTTCTGACTATTGAGGATGTAGGGGCCTCCTCTGACTAGTGAGGGTAGGGACTAGGGGGCCTCCCAGACCGCCAGTGTCAGGGGCCTATTCTGACTAGTATGGATAGAGGGGCCTCCCAGACCGCCAGTGTCAGGGGCCTCCCCAGACCAGTGTGGATATTGGGGCCTCCTCAGATCCACTAGGGCCCTTCAGGCCATAAGTCTCAGAGGCCTCCGCTGACAAGTATGGATAGAGGGCCTCCTTGGACCCACTAGGGTCCCTTGGAGTCCGTGCGTGGGGATTCGTGGAACTTATTTTTACCGAGTTTGTTTATTCTGGAAGGTGACGACGTCCTCTCAACTCGAGACGGGAGGGCCTCGAGTAAAAAGTGTGTGGGGGGGGCAAAACACATGGTTGCCCCCCCCCCCCCCACCTCAAAAAGTAGGTGGGCACTTGCCCACCTGCCCCCCCCCCCCCCCCCCCCCGGTTCCTACGCCTATGCCAGTGACGGTTCGTAATAGAAAATTATTTTAATATGCCTTCTGATTTCATATATTGGTTAGGTTGCCTATCATGTTAATGTAATGTGTATGTGGTATGGTTTTAAACATTGGGCTGGGACCAAAAGGGCATTCATTTCTCGTGTTTGCTTCTATTCAGGTGGTGGACAAGTTCAACGAATGGTTTGTCTCGGCTTTTGTTACGGCGTCTCGAATGCGCTTCGTTCTGCTCCATGACGTTAAGAACGAGGATGGGATCAAAAACTTCTTCATGGAATTGTATGAAACCTACATCAAGGTATGTGGTAATGGTAGCTTACTGATCACTAAGCAATATTATCTTCGCCGTTGCTTTGCTGGTTTCTATTGATGGCAATGCAAAGCATTTATACAAATGGCAAATCATTTCAATTCTTACAAATGCATGCTGACTATTAATTGTCTTCCAACTCTGGACAATGCTTGTTTCAGCACTCGATGAATCCATTCTACGAGAATAATTCCCCGATCAAGAGTTCTGCATTCGACAAAAAGGCGCAAATGTACGGTCGAAAGTACTTAACCAGCTGATGAGGCTATTCGATCACGTACAGTACCAAAGGTCTGGACTGGAAGGTGTGACAGGTGTCAGCGATGGTCGTTATCTCGTGTCCCGCGCAGACCGGACAGCTGGAACACGGCCTGTGGCGACCGGCCGCACCGGCCTCCGACAGCAGCGCGCGCCAGCAGGGCCCCTGCAGCCAGTGCAGCCGCCGGAGCGGGCTGGGACCGCGGCGGCCGCACCGGCCTCCGACAGCAGCGCGCGCCAGCAGGGCCCCTGCAGCCAGTGCAGCCGCCGGAGCGGGCCGGGACCGCGGCGGCCGGGGCGACCTCCCACACAGTGACTGGGACCGCTGGGACTGCTGGCGGCCTGGGACCGGGACTGGGACCGCTGGGACTGCCGGCGGCCTGGGACCGGGACTGGGACCGCTGGGACTGCCGGCGGCCTGGGACCGGGACTGGGACCGCTGGGACTGCCGGCGGCCGGAGGGGTAGGGCGGGGTGTGCGGCGGTATAGGGCGGGGTCTGTGGCAGTATAGGGCGGGGTCTGCAGCAGTATAGGACGGGGTCTGCGGCAGTAGGGCGGGGTCTGCGGCAGTATAGGGCGGGGTCTGTGGCAGTAGGGCGGGGTCTGCAGCAGTATAGGGCGGGGTCTGCGGCAGTAGGGCGGGGTCTGCAGCAGTATAGGACGGGGTCTGTGGCAGTAGGGCGGGGTCTGCGGCAGTATAGGGCGGGGTCTGCAGCAGTATAGGACGGGGTCTGCGGCAGTATAGGGCGGGGTCCGCGGCAGTATAGGGCGGGGTCTGCGGCAGTAGGGCGGGGTCTGCGGCAGTATAGGGCGGGGTCTGCGCCGTTATGTCGGCGACGTCCAGAGTGCTCCGACTTTTTTGTTATCGCGTGGTCGGTTTGACCGCTTTGAAATGCATTATTCGTCTTTATTTGATATACCTATATTGTTTTAGTGTCTGGTTGGAGCATGTTTTCCTTTTGACCGCGTGTTCACTTCTGAAGTTTGTAACCCAAAGTGGCATCGGGCTTCCGGAAGTGTTACAGACTTACAGAGCCATCTGTTCAGCTTCAGGTCAATAACCATCATTATGTTTAACCCGCGCGGGGCTGGGGGGGTAAATTTTACCCCCCCCCCCTCGCGAATTTTTGCGATATCTCAAAAACGGCGGCGCGCAGCGCCGCCAAACTTTCAGTACCTTTTCTCACATCAATTTGACACGTTCCCTGAAAATTTGAGCGATCTCCGTCGGAAAATTTTCGAGAAATTGACGTTTTAGTGACGTCATGTTCGTCATTTTCGCCTCAAAAACGGCAAAAGTTCAAACGCCGCTAACATCTTCATTTTTAAAGGAATCAAGACGTAACAAAAAAGGTTATACGTAATTTTACTTTGTCTATCAAATGGCTATCTCGTTTTTTTCGAAAATTTTGGATTTTGGCCTAAAATTTTTCGAAAAACTGACTTTTTTGGGAAAATCATTATAAAATCCAAAATTTTGAGTCTATCGAAAAAACCGGAATATATGTCAGAGAAGTGGTCTATGTGCACCTACATACCAAATTTTAGAAGAATCGGTTCAAAAATGTGGGAGTTATTCAAAATTTTATGACGTCACGACACACAAAATTTTTGAAAAATGACTTTTTGGGAAGTTCTAGACCTCGTACGGAAACAAAAATAGCACCATTCGATTCGCCGTGAAAAACTGCATCAGATAGACACCTTTTTAGGCCTTAACAACCAACTTCAAAATTTGACCTCACTTCAGTGTGGCTAAATTCATTTTACGTTAGGGGAGGATGTAGAAAAAAGGGCTGAAAGGATGTCGTTATTCTAATAAAACTTGACTTCGACCCTTTTTATGCCACGAGAAAATGATGTAGAAATATTAAATACTGATAAAACTTTGAAGGCATTCTGGTATTCGGGATATGTTAAATGAGGTTTAAGTTGGGTCATATATTTGAACATTTGGGGTATTCGAATGGTTGTCTTGGCGTGTTGTAAGAGTTTGCGAGGTTTGTGTTTCTCTTGCTCTTAGATGTTTGGGTTCGAGGTTGTTATTATGAGTCGTGACTGCTGTGTGGATGTTTTTATTTGTATTTTTAGGATGTCATTATTTTCATTATGGGCGGATTTCCCCGCATCATTACAATTTTGGACACACTGCCTCACTTGACCTGACCTTGATCTGACCTCGACCTAAAATTCATCCAGAGGTGGTCCATATCACTTATTGAGTGTGCCTATTGAATTCTATGAGTAAAATGACCCATAAAACATGTGTCGCACATGCCCTTTTCTATATTTTGTTTTTTGGTGACCTGACCTGACCTGACCTGACCTTGACCTTGACCTCTGAATGATATTGTATGCAACGAATATTGTCTTGGTAGCCTAAGAACACGTTTTGGGCGATCAGTCTCAGTCCATGACTCCATTCTTCGGCAACTACGGTGCAAGGCCGATACTGTAGAAACTTGCAATTTGTACCCTTGACCTGACCTTGACCTTGACCTCAAACTTTAAATTAAGTACATGTTTTTAGTTGTTCGTGATGAGAGCTTTCGATTGGCGTTTGAATTTTCCAAATCGGACCGTTAGTTCGGGAGATAACAGGGGGGGGGGGGTAAAATTTACCCCCCCCCCCCCAGCCCCGCGCGTTCGGCTGGAGACCCCAGCCCCGCGCGGGTTAAGAATCCACTCCCTCGAACAATAAAACTGTTAATGTATGGGGGCCATGCACTAGGTTGTTTTGCGTACGCCGTGCCTACTCGCAACTCGTTGCGTAGTCTATACATGAGCTCCCCCGCAGCGTTGTTGGAGTTCCCCGTCCATTAAACTACATCATAGCTGGTCGTGCTTACACTGAAAAGTGTACGTACGACGCGCGCTGTTGAACGATTTCGATGCTGCCTGTCTATCTATTGTTGAATACGGATGGCTATGTTGGTGTGCCTACTTCTGTGTAATTTTACGGACTGCCATCGTCTGCGTCTGTCACGGGAAATGCATCTGCCGGCTCGGTTGTCAATTTTGTGTTATGCTCGCGATTTTGAAAAGCAATTGCTTAATCCTTGACAGCATTTCGTTTGATCTTTTTTAGTTCTATCTTTCCACTCGCAGCGAAATCGAAGCTATCGTTGCATTTTTAGATTATACCTCTATGCACTTCATTCTGTTATTCGTCTGTTGCAAGTTCGTCTATTGACCGACTTATACTACTGGTTCGGAAGTCGCAAGGCCGAACTGAGGTCAGCTGGTCACTGGCGTCAGCTGCTTACCGAGGTCAGTTGGCCACTTAGGTCACCTGGTCACCGAACTGAGGTCAGCTGGTCACCAGGTCAGCTCAGTGAACTAACTGAGGTCAGCTGTCACTGAACTGAGGTCGGCAGGTCACTGAGGTCAGCTGTCACTGAACTGAGGTAGGCAGGTCACTGAGGTCAGATGTCACTGAACTGAGGTCGGCAGGTCACTGAGGTCAGCTGTCACTGAACTGAGGTCGGCAGGTCACTGAGGTCAGCTGTCACTGAACTGAGGTCGGCAGGTCACTGAGGTCAGCTGTCACTGAACTGAGGTCGGCAGGTCACTGAGGTCAGCTGTCGCTGAACTGCGGTCGGCGGGCCGGTCGCTGTTATAGTAGTTCCTGTTGACTGGGAAGACGGGCGGTCGCCTAGCGGTCAGTGGCAGCCGTCCCGTACGAGACAGATGGCGCTGCTAGCCTGGCGGCACGGGCTGCGACCACCTGCTTGGGCGGCCACTCTGAACTCAGCTTGTACTCCTAGTTTCACGATCAGGCGGTAGATGGCAGCACCTCCGCCGCCAGACTAGTTCAGTGGACTCTGAACCGGGCGGATCCAGTACGGCACTACCCATCGATCAGTCACCACTCACCAGTCACCACTCACCAGTCACCACTCGCCAGTCACCACTCACCAGCCACCCCACCCAGCCAGTCACCACTCACCAGTCACCCCACCCAGCCAGTCACCGTTCCGTGCTTCTATCCTCAGGATACTGAAATCCTTCTCCTCCACGCCGCAACCCACCCTCCGGGCTGGACAGGCAACTTTATCTCATGCGGGCTGCTCCCTTGGAGCGGCACCGCTGCTCCCGAGGGAGCGCACCCCGTAGCCGGGTGCAGTGAGTGCCTTGGGGCTGGGTGGCCTGTCCTTTGGACGGGCTCAGCCCCGGCGACTCACTAGGGTGTCTGCCCAGACCAATGTCTCCCCCCTATATCCTATCATCCTCCCGGCTCTGAAATGGTCTCATTGGACCGAAAGGGTCTAACCCAACGAAACAACAAACAAAAACAAACAACAACCCAGCCAGTCACCACTCACCAGTCACCCCACCCAGCCAGTCACCACTCACCAGTCACCCCACCCAGCCAGTCACCACTCACCAGTCACCCCACCCAGCCAGTCACCACTCACCAGTCACCCCACCCAGCCAGTCACCACTCACCAGTCACCCCACCCAGCCAGTCACCACTCACCAGTCACCCCACCCAGCGCTGGTCGGTGCAATAACGTCCCGGCGCTCTGCAACTAGGGGCTGGTGTTGTCCAGTGCTGATGTCTGATGAAAAACACCCCACCATAGTGTATGGCGTCTGTGTAGGCAAATAGGTACTTACCTGATGCCTGTATTTTGGTTACAGCGAGTGAATTACGGATGGGATTCAACCCGTGTGTGCGAAAAGGCTTAACTGTTCAAAAGAGAAGCTCAGGCTCTGGGAGAATACAGGGATCCCAAATGACAGCTCGCGGTACCGGCTGTGCCGTTATGTGCGCGTGCGCCGTCCGCTGGCGCCGTCCCGTCGAGCGGTTCTCCGGTTTATGAGCGTGCTGTGGCTCTGTCTGTGGGCACGGCCGGGCGGCGCCGCTCGGGCCGGGCCAGTTCCGCACCCCTGCTCGCAGCACGGGAGTCCGTCTCCTCGCGGCGGGCCGGCCGCGGCGACTGCAACTCTGTGACATCCGGCGGGCCGGCCGCGGCGACTGCAACTCCGTGTCATCCGGCGGGCCGGCCGCGGCGACTGCAACTCCGTGTCGGCCAACACCCGGCGGGCCGGCCGCGGCGACTGCAACTCCGTGTCGGCCAACACCCGGCGGGACGGCCGCGGCGACTGCAACTCCGTGTCGGCCAACACCCGGCGGGACGGCCGCGGCGACTGCAACTCCGTGTCGGCCAACACCCGGCGGGACGGCCGCGGCGACTGCAACTCCGTGTCGGCCAACATCTGGCGGGACTGCAGCTCCCAACAGCGCCCTAACGGCCACCTCGGTGCTAGCGTAACTATATCTGAAAAGCTTAGCGTGTTTTGGCGCACCGGGCACTGCGATATTGGAGACACATTTGCCTGTTATATCGAGGGCAATGTTAGGTGTTTTCCTTAGCCTATTTTGATGTGTGACGTCTGTTATGAGACACGTGCGGTCGCCCGGGCGTCCCGCTACCCCCCTATGGTCGTCCGTGCCACCCCCGTGGGACCGTTTCATGCGACACATGGAGGGTCGTCATGGGTCGAGGGTCATCATGGAGGGTCTTCTCTGCTACCCCCGCCCGGTCGGCGTCCGGTCGGTGCAGTGAGCAGCCCGCGCTCGGGCCGTGTGTTGGCGCCGAGTAACGGGCCGGCCGGGGCCGCACCTGTCGGATGGCGGCCCTCCTCTCCGCGGCGCGGCGGGCAGCCGTGTGCCGGGCGGCGTCTCCGGCCTGCTGGAGATGGTAGCGGCCTACCCGGGAGGCCCGGCCGCCGCCGGTCCCGGAGGCCGACTGGCTGACACCGTTTGGGAACAGCCCCCGGCGGCCGAAGTCACCAGAGTATACATAGAAAACATCGGAGTCACTGCCCGCTGCTCACGGAGGAGCACAACGGACCGTCTGAGTCAGCGGCGGCCCACCCGCGCCCGGAACTGACCGGAGCTGACCGGAGCTGCCCGGAGCCCCGCCCGGAGCCGCCCGGAGCTGACCGGAGCTGACCGGAGCCCCGCCCGGAGCTGACCGGAGCTGACCGTCGAGGTGAACCGACCGGTTTTCCGGTGTTTTGTGTCTGAATTCGGTCGAGGTCTCCATTGGTCAGGCCGCGGTCTGAGACACGACTGCTGGTCTCTGGTCAGTCTCCCGGTCTCTCGGGTGTACCTTCAGTCTCCGGGTCTCTCGGGTGTATCTCCAGTCTCCGGGTCTATCGGGTGTATCTCCAGAGTCCAGTCTCCCGAGTCCCGGTCTCTTAGGTTTACCTCCAGTCTCCGGGTCTCTCAGGTGAACAGGCTGTAGCTACTAAGTAAATAGCTCCGTTTCAAACCGCCTCACAGCGGCTTAGGCGCCTTTTGACCTAAGCGTTCTGTATCCTAGAATGACGGTATAGGTATGCCTATGTTTACAATAACCATAACGGAACAGTGTGATCTAATTTTGCAGGCTTTTGTCACTATCATGTGTGGGAGACCGCAGTCCAGCTGGGCGACGTGGTCAGTAGGTATGCGGCAGGTCAGCTCTACGCACGGGGTCAGAGGCCAGAGGGTGGCATGGTCAGCGCGTGCAGCAGGTCAGCTCTACACACGGGGTCAGAGGTCAGAGGGTGGCATGGTAAGCGCGTGCGGCAGGTCAGCTCTACACACGTCACACGGGGTCAGAGGGTGGCATGGTCAGCGCGTGCGGCAGGTCGGCTCTACACACGGGGTCAGAGGTGGCGGGGTCAGTGCGTGCGGCAGGTCAGCTCTCGTACACACGGGGTCAGAGGTCACGCCGGAGTGACAGCGCCTGGTAGTCGCCACCGCGGACCGCGGCGCCAGCGGGACTGTCGGTCCCACCGGGGAACACGCCTGGTCGGCTGGGTCGGCTCAGGTCACAGGTGACAGGTGCTGCCGGTACCTGCCCGCCAGCAGGTCAGGGCGGACCTAGTTTGGCGTGTTCCGGTCACGCGGGAACGTCGAGCGACCACCGCTCGTAACTGGCTGCTGGCGCTGAGCGGTACCGGAGCGCGCTGGATGGGGGCTCATCCCGGGACGCCAGGTCACCGTCAGACCCTACCAGCACAGGTCAACTGAGCGGTCGTCACCCCCGGTCAACTGAGCGGTCGTCACCCCAGGTCAACTGAGCGGTCTTCACCCCAGGTCAACAGAGCGGTCGTCACCCCAGGTCAACTGAGCGGTCGTCACCCCAGGTCAACAGAGCGGTCGTCACCCCAGGTCAACTGTGCGGTCGTCACCCCAGGTCAACTGAGCGGTCGTCACCCCAGGTCAACTGAGCGGTCGTCACCCCAGGTCAACTGGGTGGTCGTCACCCCAGGTCATCTGGGCGGCCGGTCCAGGTCAGCTGAGTGGTCGGTCCAGGTCAGCTGGGTGGTCGGTCCAGGTCATCTGAGTGGTCGGTCCAGGTTATCTGAGTGGTCGGTCCAGGTCAGCTGGGCGGCGCAGTTCTGCCGGTATGTCCGGTGATTCACTGACCGCGCGGCGCGGAGCTGCCGGCTACTGGCGGCTGACCGGGCGGGCGGCCACTTCCCAGCCGGCACAGTGCACCGGCCGCCGACCCGCGCCACGTGACCGGCCGCAGCGGCCCGTTACAGCCGGCCGGCCGAGCGGGTCGACGAGTCGGCGGCGGCGACGGTGCGCAGTCAGTCGACGACCGACGCCAGAACGGAGCACAGGTGAGGAGAGGAGGGCCTGTGGGCGCCGAGACCGGCGTCTGCACTCGGTCGGCCGCCGCTCCCCCGTCCCCGCCACCTGCCGCTCAAACTCACTGTTCTCTAATGGCTGTTCTCGGCCAATGTGCCGATAGGCCGTGTGCTGATTTATTATTGCTTTCGCTTTGGCTGTTATTGTCCCGATTAGAAATAATTTCCGATGAAATGAAAATATCAGTGTGTAAGACGATCGCAATTCACTCAGTATTAAAAATTTGCTTTCATTTTCTCGTCAATATGACTAAACTTTCGTTGATTTCATATGCCGGTCCTGAAAGGCCCGATCCTTTAACATAATGACCGATAGGTAAGCCTGCCCTTGGGCAGCCGAAGCTTGATCCCAGGACACTACACAGGGCCAGCGTCCCTCGCCGCGGATTCACTTTTACCGTAACATTTTAGGAGTCACCCTGTAAGTACGTGTTTTCTTTACCCATTCCGTCTGTGTTTGCAGTGAATCGCACAAGTATGGCAGGCCTGCCTGCGTTTGAAGTGGGTTCCGCCGCGGCGACGGCGGCGGCGGCGACGACGGCCTCTGGCCTGGCGGCGGTGGAGCCGTCCGTGGATTCTGTCACTACGCTCTCCGTGCTGCTGATGAGTGAGTGACCTCAGTCTTACCTTACCGGGGGAGGGGAGGGGGGTCAGCGGCCAGGGACTAGTGACCTCAGTCTCACCGGGGGAGGGGGGGAGGGGGGGGGGGGGTCAGCGGCCGGGGACTAGTGACCTCAGTTTCACCGGGGGAGGGGGTGACAGTGACTGCTCTACTCCCCTTGTGCGTGCGGGGACCGTTCTGTTGGCATAAGTTTGGTGGTCGACGAAAAGCGTACCGTTTCACACAATTGCAATCGCTCATGTCACGCCACAATAGCAGAATAGGCGGGAATGCCTTTACTATTCTCAAGTTGACGATTCTCTCCCATTAGCTACCATCATTGAATGCCGTTGCGGTTTCGGTGAATATGCCGTATGTACTGTTATCATTTACCCTGCAGATGTACCTGACGCATACCTTCACACCATGTGTTGATCGCTGATGAGAAGTGTATGGTTTAATTTACAGTGTGGCGAGGACCTTGGATCTTGGCTTGTTTTCTCACTAATCTGTTACAACAGCGAAATGAACGATACTCGTCTAGGACGATTAGCATTTCGTAGATTTCTACGCTCGCTTTGTTTGACAATTTGGTGTGAACTCATGGCAGTCAAAGTTTCAATAACGCGGCTCGCTTCACGCGTTGGACCATGCGTGGATGGGCCGTTTTATGTAAGTCGCTCGTGATGCGCCGTAAGTCTCTGGTTCTTTGTCTCCCTGCCTCTCTTGATGCCACGGTCGGTGGAGGTAATGCTCGCTATGTAGGTCAGCGCAGTGCGCGCCTCACCTATCTGCCGCCGCGCGCGCGCGAGCGGGCCCGTTCTTCCGGCGCGCGCACGGCGTTTTTGGAGGCTGAGCCGGCGGCGGCGCGGCGGAGCGGGTCGGGCCCGGTGTGGCCGGGCCAGTGGGCCGCGCCGCCACCCGTCTCCGGCTCGTTAGCGCCGCCGGGCGGGGGCGGCGCACCGTTAGCGCTCCTCTAACGGTGGTGCCGCCAGCCGCCGGCTGCCGAGCGGTGCCAATCGCCGGGAAAACACTCAGCCGGCGCCCGCCGGCGGCACGGTGGTCGACCGTGACCGGTGCCCGCTCGGCCGCTTCTCTGCCTGAACCCACTGTCCGCCTATCGCCAGACACAGCGCCATCGGGTCCGGGTGGAATACGGTCTGCGCCTCCGTGGCACCGGGACGATATTGAGGTCTACTCGGCCATTCCATCGGGATATTTGTGTCACCCGTTGACCCGCGAAGTGCCGGGGATGCACCGCAGGGTGGCGGGTGGCTGGGCGCCGCTGTTTACCGCCAGCAGGCGCTGTGTGCGCCGCGGACACAGGTGTGACCGGGCGCGGCGCCGCGGCCGGGCGGCCGGCCGGCCGGCCCGTTAGTGGGTCGGGCGGACTGTGCAGCGCCGGTCAGTGACCGGGCACGACCGGCCGGCGCTCCGACGGGCCGTCCGGACCAGCACAGCAGGCACCGGCTGCGCTCCGGCGTCACTGCCAGCACCAGTCACACCGGAAAACCAGCCCTCTCAGTGGCCTGGCCGCGTTCGGACCGGGCAGTGGCCGGTAGCCTCACCAAAGCCGATTTAAGGCGCACCGGAAGGAACTCTGGGCCTTACGTGCGTCAGGTCGGCCGGTTTGACCGGCTTTGTCGGCCCAATTGACCGGCGCTGTTCTGGGCCGGCTGAGCCCCACTGTGACCTCGGTAGTCCAGAGTCCTCCCCAGCTCCCCCCCCCCCCCCCCACACACACACACACATCCGGTTCCACCGCCCGCGTTCATGCAGTGCGGGTCAGCACTGACAGTCCACCGCGCCGCCGCCGGTCACCTTCACCGTCACGCCTCCCACTGACCTTTTTGCAGACACACATTTATGATTTCACCTCGATAAATGGGTTATGAGCATTGTTAGGAGGATTAGTGACGTGTTGGCGATGAGACAAAGAATCTCACGAGTACCTACACGCTAATCGGCTGGGCAGCTGCGTGCCGCTCCAAATCCAGTCGTCGTCCCTGTGACCCAGGCTGAACAGGTCCCGGCTGACCGGTGCCGCCCCGTGCCCGTGTTTCAGTGGCCTACATGGCCCGGGCGACGTTCCCCAACTTCTTCAAGTCGCTGCTGGACGAGCGGCTGCTGGCGATGGCCGGTCTCACCACGCCCAACAGCACGACTGCACAGTGAGTGACGCCCGCCCCGCCGCCCCTCACCCGGATTGGAATGTAACTACCCCCTCGGAAGGTGACAGTGCCGTCCGGGAATCACGATGGTCCTACAATGTGTTCAGTACTGTCAGAACTATTTATAAGCCACATAACTATTCATGGCCCATAAATTCAAAATACCTTCACTTAATTTGTGTTAAAGACGCGAGGGCTGCGATTTTCTCGAACACGAGCGGGTTTATGTAGATCCGAGGGGTTCCCCAGAGGTAGTGCTGTGTATGTCCGTGCCGCCGCGGCGGCGTGTGGGCCGCAGTGGTCGGCGCTGACCCCGGTATGTCCGTGCCGCCGCCACAGGAAGTCGCGCGTCGAGGAGGAGGACGAGTGGTGGCACTTCCCCATCCACCTGCTGGCGCTGTGGCAGATGCGCCACCAGCCGCACCAGCAGGCCTGCGCGCGCCGGCTCGTCTGCGACCACGTCACCGCCGGAACGCCCGACCCCTTCTTCGACTTCGCCATGTGAGTGCGCAGCGGGACGGGCCCGGGGCAGGCCGACGGGGGCAGCCGACGGCCCTCGGGGACAGGCCCACAGAGCACCAGTCTCCCAGACTGAGGGCGTTAGCCACTTAGCCTGGTGGTAATCATCAGTGTACACCCGTAGTGTATGTATGTACCCAGTGGCATTTCATCTGAATGTCCAGTTACAAATGTTCACCGAACGCCAGTAATGCCATCCCAGTAAAGAGTACCGTATCGGGTTTCCGTTTTATAGCGCCGGTCTGCGTTGCGGCGCTGTCTGTGCACCCTGCCGCCGCCGCCGGCCGGTCGTCTGACTCTCCCCACCCCCTCTTCCCCGCAGCGGCGGCGTGGCCTACATGATGGGCGCCAGCGGCTCGCTCTCCATGGTCGACAAGCTGCAGTCGCTCGAGAACGAGGTGGTCGACTGCGAGAGGCTCGTGCCAGAGTGCGAGGGGCCCAAGCTGCGCGAGGCCATGAGCCTGGGTACCACCATTCAGAAGTTCTCGGCCATGGTGGCGGAGTGGCTGGGCTGGTAGCCGGCCGCCGAGCGTCTGCGTCTGTGTGTGTGTGTGTGCGTCTGTGTGTGTCTGTGTGTGTGCTGACTGCTGTTCGTTTGTTCTGAGCTGTGCGCGGCCGCTGAGGCGTTCGTAAAGAGACATTGATCGTGGGGCATTGATTTACACTGGAGACCAGCGGAGGGTCGGCACGGTTTGTGCTTTCGTCTATTTATATTTGTTATGTGGAGTCTGTTGTGGCGATCCGGAGAGGACGGTGCGCTGGAAGGACCGAGGACGCTTCAGGACAGAGTACTGTCCACTGTCGGATATTTATTGACGGTTTTTCGTAAGCACCGCTGGCGTACAATACTGTTTTATTGAGACCCTCGGACCCGCCGAGAACTCGAGGTTAAATAAAACGCTTTCGTATTAGCCGATATGTGACAGTGGAGTAACCGATACCGCCGCATCAGACAGTGTAGTAGCTGACACTGTCACATCTGACAGTAGAGTAGCTAACACAACTGGCAGTGGAGTAGCTGACACATCTGACAGTGGAGTAGCCGGCACTGTCACATTTTGCGGAAATAACCGATGATAACCAGCGCTGGAATCACCAACGAAATGACGAAATGACCTTAGTGGAATGACCAACGCTGCGCCAACGCTGTAACAGCGGAGTAGCCGACACTGGCTCCTCCAGCAGCCGAATTAAAGCTAGACGTTTCCTCTGTTACTGAGTGGTTTAGGGAGCACGGAAGCTGGGTCACCCTGACCCGGCCCGTCCCCAGTCGCCCGGCCGTGACGCCGAGACCCACCGGCCTGCACGGACGGTGTACGATGGTAGTGGTGGGCACACAGCCGTCCCGCGCCCCGCGCCGCGCCCAGCCAGCAGTCACGGCACAGTCGCTGCACGCCGCCGAGCAGGCGCGACTCCTCAGTGAGGGGTGCAGTCCGCCGACCAGCCTGTGGTGGCTGAACGCCGACACGGACTGGCCGCACGGGCGATGACATAACACGCCGTCCAAATAGATATTATCAATAACTTTATTGATTTACGTGACACATGATGATGATCAATGCATTGACATGACTGCGACTGCCATATGACGAATAGTACCACCGAAAGGGTTGAAAATCTGGTCACCGTTATCGGCCCCTCTCCGGATAAGTCCGGCCGTAAATTTTTACCGAATGAATACTCACTGCTCTCTACAATGGTCGTGATATGCGCAATAGAAACTCAGTACAATCGGTCAACAGATGCACCCGCCACTGCCCACAGACAAGGGAATGGGCCCCAGGGCGGCGCCCCCCCCCCCCCCCCGCGCCCCCTGTTCGGCGCGGATCGGACGACGTCCGCGGCCAGCGTTACCAACACGAGCAGTGACCGGCTGGCTGTCCCCACACCGTCCTCACCGCGGCGCCGACCTCCGTCGCCGCGGGCTGCTCGCTGACGACGCTCCGCGGCTCACAGGCCGGCGGCCGACGCAGCCGACTCGGGCGTCGGTCCGGCGTCCGTCAGCCGGCAGGAAGGACCCGGTCCGGTGTCCGTCAGCCGCAGGTCGGGCGTCGGCCCGGTGTCCATCAGCCGCAGGTCAGTAGCAGGAAGGACCCGGTCCAGTGTCCGTCAGCAGCATGTCGCGTCGTCGGTCCGGCGCCTGTCAGCCACAGGTCGCGGCGTCGGTCCGGCAACCGTCAGCCACAGGTCGCGGCGTCGGCCCGGCGTCCGTCAGCCGCAGGAAGGACCCGGTCCGGCGTTCGTCAGCCGGCAGGCGGCGGCGCCGGTCAGTTGGCCGACTCGCAGGCGTCGATCCAGTCGTTGTAGACGTCGATCGGCTCCGAGAGGATGTTGGTGTTGGTCTGGAAGTCCTCCAAGCACACCCGGCACGTCACACGGCCCGAATTCCGCGCCTTGTCCCTGCAACGCAGCGACCAATGGTGACAACCCACTCAAACCATCAGTCACGGCGCGGGTTGTCTGCTTTCTCTCTTCATCATCTATGAAAACTACAATTTTTTAGATGATGGGAATGTTCTGATTGTTTTATATATGAATGTTCGAGGTTGTGTGGGCTTTTTAAAGATAACTGAAGGAAATATGGAGGTAGTTAAAAACCTGCCAGTAAAATTGGGAGTAAAAATTGTTCTGAAAAAAAATTGGAGGTGAGTGAAAATCATTTTTATTTGGATGTCACTTCCCACCCACACTGGCAATTTTGGGGACACTGCAGCTGACTGAACTGTAAGTGAACTTTAAAAAAAAAAAACACTCAAGCTGGTAAAGTAGCATAGGTAGTGTATGATGCACAGTGATGTGGTGAGCTCATGCTTTTAATTTTAGAGTCTTATCCCCCCCTCCCCATCTGTTCACAGTATAGAAGAGGCCTTGCCTTGCAAGGGTTCAGTTTCAGGGTCTTGGGTTTGATCCCCAAATGTGTCATCACTCATCAGTATCACCAGTTTATAACCTGAACATTCTACATGATATGTATGCATGGCCTCGCTTGGTTCAGCCCGCCAAGTCAATGCTGATCGGGGGAAGACTACAAATCACTTTATGGGTACCGTAAAACGGGGTGTTAAGGGACAGTTTTGAGGTGTTTTGTTATATAACTCAAGAAGGGTTGGAGATAGAAGCATCAAATTGTCAGCATTTTATGTGGAATTTGGTGCTTTACATGCCTGCCACATTAAAGTTTTTAAGATGTATACCTGCATGTTAATTTTTATTATTTTTCACCACTGTCCCTTAGCACCCCAATGTGGGGTGTTAAGGGACACCTATATTATTCCAAGAAATGGTCATCAAATGCCCACAATTGGGGTGTGAAAGGGCAAAATATTTATTTATTGAAATGTTTTGCATATTCTGTCACAAAACAAGTCAGGTTCATTCACCACTAATGACCTTTCTAACCAATTACATGTAATGCAGTTTACGCTTGTGGAAAATGTGCTAATTATAAGGTAAACAGAACTAAAAAGTAATCTTCTGTCATCAATAAAAACCCATGTTGAAGCTAGTCACTTGTCATACTGTTGCCCTCTTTGTTTTAGCCTTTTTATGATGACATCACATTCACCTACATCAGTGAATGTAGTTGCCGGTCCCGTAGGTCATCAGTTGCCGGTCCCGTAGCTCAGTTGGTTAGAGCGTTGGACTCCGCGTGGTGAGAGCACGCGTTCCCGGTTATGACAGTCCGGGTTCGAAGCGCGAAGGGCGCTCGACATTTATGGGCCTCCTGACAGGTATGGCTGCGGTTGGTGGCAGGCCGTAGCCAGGCGAAGTCAGCGAGGGGACCGGCCGTGCGCGGCTTTGTGCGCACGTTAAACTTTGGACTCTAAATTCTGCCATAGAATCGGAATTGCGCGATCGGAGGGTAGAGGGCAGGGTCATCGCAACAAGCTTCGCTTAGCGGTGGCTCTGTCCTTGTGAATCCTTCCAATCAAAAGGTTCGGACTAAATTTATATAAAAAAAAAATAAAAAAAATCAGTCTCCATTGACCCATCATTGTAAAAGAGAGTGCTGAGATGTTTTTTTACATAACTTAAGATGTGTTAGAGATAAAAGCATGAACTTGCCAGCATTTTATGTGGAATTTGATGTTTTCCATGCCTACTGAAAGAAAACTTAATGAAATTATATTTAGATATTATTTTTTATTTTTTATTCCCTGTCCCTTAGCACCACACATCCACCTCAAAATATGCATGTATCCGGAAAAGAGGAAGAGGATGATGAATGAATGGGTGGATATGCACAAGTTTTTCAGGAAACATGTGCAATACATGTGACAATACACCTATGCATTCATTTTCCCTGTACACCCACTAGTTTATGTGGTGCACACAGAGTTTTGGAGATGTTTCAATTTTGAGAAAATGTAGCATGATTTTCAAATCCATTTTTGAACCAAATCACCTGCATGAAAACCCATACCATTTTGTCCTATGGTCAAGAGCAAAACAGTGTCCACTACCACACTAAAGTTTTTATTGAACCTTCTCAAATTAGGAAGTTAATATGACTCAAAGTTTTTCCCATGCAACTGTCCCTTAACACCCCACTGTCCCGACCCTTAACACCCCATTTTACGGTACCAATCGTTAACAGCTGTGTTCTTGCAGCATTGATTTGAGACCGTTACACCTGCACAAATTTGAAAGAATGGTCAGACTTATGTCCAGGATCTAGGCTAGCATAATAGCATCCTTAAGCGCAAGGCCCTGTTTCACCGGTGATAGCAGCACGCTGCTTTTACACGTGTCAAATTGGGTTTCCATGGAAACATCAACAGGCCCATTGCTCCAACACTACCACAAGTGTGACGTCAGCTTGCGCAATTTAATAGCAGCGTGGTAGCAGCATCCCGTGAAACACCGCCCAGAGGTCGGCAACCTTTTTTGGGATAGGATGCAATGAGGACCTGCTATAAGGAACCATTATAGCGATTGTACCTCATGAACAAGTACCTAATGAATTTAAAGCAAATGATGCTACAAAGATGTATAATTGATATAATTATGACTCACATTTTCACTTCACAGCTTTTTTCGTGGTTGCAGAACGGGCAGTTAAAGAGGAGATCCAATGGCTCAATATTCTTGCGCTTTGGTGGTGGTTTCCTGTTGCTTTTTCTTCGACCCATTTCAGCGCTTGGCTTGACTTAAATGCTCACTTAAATAGTGTCACAATACTCAACAGGCGCAACAGGCTTCCCAAACACAAGCAAGCTGACGCAAAAACGCTTCATGCGCAGAAACGCGCCATGCACGGAGAACTCATGTGCGCCGGTTTCGTCGGTGTTCTTTCCCACGCTCGATGTTATCTTCTAGGAAATGGCTAGTGTTTTGCTGGACGACGGTGAAAACAGGGCGCCTGGGGCGATTTGATCAAGGTTCGTGAAATTCACACGTGATGTTTTGCATGTAGAAGGCCGCACGGAGGGGGAGAAGCTCCAAATGTCACGTGACTAATATGCCCTCCGGCGCCCTGTTTTCACCGGCGTCCGTTTTGCTAACCTACCCAAGCGTTAAAACTTTTTTTTCACGGTGACTATAAATACTTTTTTAATGTCAGGAAAGAGTTGATTCATATTTTTGTTTTATTAACTAGTTTCAAGCAAAATATCAGGCAACTTTCATAAGAAAACACATTTTTCAAAATGTGACGTAATATTAGGCTGTCGAAAAACCCCATTACTGCAAGACAAGTCGAAAATAGAAAGATACATAGATTATATTACGCTTCAGCTCTGCATTGCATCATTATCATATTAATAATTCCATTTGTTTAAAAAAAATCATTTTCTGTTACTATCTTTCGTAATCTTTCGGACCCTCCCACCTTAACATTAGATTTGAGTTGAGATAGCCAAAATGGGGTCCCTGTCTCACAATTACCGGTTTCGGCACTCACAACATCGAGAAATGCCTTAAATCGGAAATATTGAATTTCAAAATTGCAGCATTTTGATTCAGAGGGGCTAATGCAAAGGAATACCCCTCTGAATGTGTGACGTCAGCGCAGATATCTAACGATTTTTAAATGTTTGACTAAAACGTTTTGTAGCACGCGGTGGTATATGCCGCTTTGCGCGCAACAAACGCCGCACTTTCAAATAAAGTCGCTAGGAACAGCGGAGATCCCAAAAAGTAAACAACTGTAAAAGTCTAATATCTTGAAAACCAGTGAATATTTTTCGATGAAATTTGGTAGATATTCGTTTTCGCTCTTTCTGAACCGAGCGACATCACTTTCATGCCAATTCATTAACTTTTTTGAAGGTGGGAGGGTCCCTTTAATGGGTAAGAAAAGGGATATTTACCGTACTTACGTCATTTCCCTCTTTCTTTGCACGTGTTGACGTTTATACTGGCTTGTGTTGAACACATAGCATTTTTCACAACAAATGCTCAATCGGTTGCGGTACAACACCTTAAAAACGACCTCCCGACGCTTCTCGGGGACGACACAACCGACACAACATTGACAAACCTGGTACTTGATTTCGTCCTAACATCACCCTACTCAGAGCTACTTTAACGGCCTTGACTGTTAGCAGGCGCCCGTTTCGCTACCACCAGGCTGACTTGTGATACGGGATGGGTCGGGTTTTTCGCTGGTGCCGAAACACAGAGCTTCGGTGGCAGACGGGTTTTCTCCTGCCGCTGGAGCAGGCTTAGAGGCTCAGCGGCCCAGCGAGCTACACCAGCGGACCCCGGCCGCTGAACAGCGGCGGCGGCCGGGTTGAACGACCACAGACAACCGTCGGCCGCCAACTGCAGCAGCGACAGATTCCCCATCCTCCAAACCATTCCTTTCATCGTGACGCTTAAACATTCACAAACCCCATCCCTCCCAGCGACATATCCCCCACTCTTCAAACCATTCCTGTCATCAAACTCTCGTAACCTTACCATTCACAAACTTCCTCCTTCCCTCCCTTCACAAACATCAATTTACCGGTAAGTTTCACTGTCATTTATGTGTCTTAACGTAAATTCATGGGTTTTTTCCCATATTCATGGCATAGTACATGGATATGGGTTTTCCCATGTTGTCTTGCTGTAAAAGTGGCCACCGGTCTTAGTTAGGACGGCCGGTTTGTTTTGCGCGGCGTAGTTAGGTCGCCGCCCTCCTCGCGAGGCCGGTAACGTAAGTTAGGGCCACAAAAAAAAAAAAAAAAAAAAAGGTTGCCTTGGCTCTTGCCTTGGCTCAAAAGCGCATTGCGATTTGCGCGTTGTTGTTGCGCGTGGTTGCGCGCCGGCAAGGCCGTGGGTGGTGGGTGAGTGATGGAGGAGAGAGGTAGTGGATTGTGGGAATTATATGGACTCAATCAAGGCTCAATCTATCGTCTGGAAGAAGATAGGAGGCCCCTCTTGCGTGGAGACTAACCCCGAATTCGCAGTCTCCTTGGACGAATACTGGCCTCCATTTTACCTTTGGTGGCCTTCAGGCTTCAGGTCACTGCTGAGGTCCTCAGCAGTGACCTGATCGAAAATGGCCTGCCCTTATCCTTGTTAACCTTCGCCCCAGTGGGGGGGGGGGCATATGTTACCACCCTGTCACGTTTTTTGCGTGTGAATAAAAAACCGTGGCGCGTAGCGCCGTGCCGCTTGGGGTAGCTTTTTGGGTAAAAGTATACATTGAGTCCGAGTGACTTTAAAGATAAAGTTTTCATATTCTTACATTATTTGACATCCTGAATCAAAACATGATACTTATATGTCCTGGAAATAAAAGAAAAAACATAATCAAACCTGACCTAACCTTACCTATTTACCTACAACCTACCAACCTACAACCTACAAACCTACAACCTAACAACCTAAAACCTACAAACCTACCAACCTAAAACCTACAAACCTACAACCTAACCTAACCTAAAACCATAATTTTTTTGCTGTTGCATATTTGTATCAACAGCGTCACAATTGTCCACTCGGACCTAATATATACTTGATCCGTGTGTATGGCGTACGCATAGGAACAGTCCAAATATTTCAGAATCACAATGATTTAGACTATCACAATGATTTAGACCACTCGTGATGACCAAGTTATCATACCGCTTTTTGTACATCAATTTTGGACAATGTGTGAAATTTTTGACCCCAGGTCATGTCAGGTCAGGTCACCAGGTCAAGTTAACTGACCAAGCTTAAAAAAAGTTTGCAATCATGTCCAGCCTGCAGTGTTTGTCAGAAAGGTTTTAGACTTGGTGGATTGCATGCTGTTATGGGCACCTACAATTTGTATATCTCAGATTTTGTATATCCTATTATCCGTGGCCTAAGGTCAGGTCAGTGGTGTGACCTTTCCATTACAAGTCCATGGAGAAAAATGCTAATGCCTCTTGATCCGTGTGTATGGCGTATGCATAGGAACAGTCCAAATATTTCAGAATCACAATGATTTAGACTATCACAATGATTTAGACCACTCGTGATGACCAAGTTGTCATTTTTGCTGATAGCCTCTAGAAAGGTCATCCGAGATCATTTGAGGCTACAAACAGTCTTTTGCCAATAACTCGCGATTGGAAAGAGATAGAACGCTGGGGATGGTCTCATTGTGTTTGTCTTGTTGAGACGCATCGACTGATATGCAACATGACCTTTTCCGGTCAGGTCATGACCTTGACCTGAGGTCAAATTTTCAAGTTGACCTTTCAAGGTCAAATTATAGTTCATTCGACGCGTCTCGGCGAGGGAAACACGATTCTGGCAATATAAATGTCATGGCTTTTTGTAGGCTAAAGTTATTGTCGAAAAACACTTTTCATAAAAGCAGCTATTTTTGGAGTTTCTGCCCTCTGGAGGCTAAACCGTTGACCTAAGGTCAATATTGATAACGGCCTTATCAAAAGAAGAGTTCAAAAGCTATCGATTGCTTTTCCATGCGTTTTTCTAGCTATCATAGTTCCTTAGATAGCGGCATGTTTTCTGAAAAATATAATGACAATTAGCAAATTTTGACCTTTGATGACCTCTGGTGACCCCCATATTGCTCTAAGGTGAAAAATGACCGAAATATTTTCAATCGTACGCATTGAGAGTTATCGACTGCTTTTTACCGCGTCTTTCTAGCCCTCTTAGTTTTTGAGTTAGAGGTGGGTGGAAACATATGCCCCCCCTCCCCCCCCACTAGGGCGAAGTTGGCTGAGACCGCCACTGGGGCGCGGATTAAAGATCTTATAGCTAGCTATCTTATTTCATTTTCCGGATCTTTCTTATTTTGTTTTAGAGATAAATGGTTCCTGGGGGGGGGGCTGAGGCTCCCACCAGGGTGAGCCTGAACAACTGGATATGGTGAATATAATGATTAACAACATGATTGCCGACAAACACATGCATATGAAAATATACTTATAGAAATGTCCAACAAATTGGCAACCTTTTTGTAGAATGCATGTTTAAATGCATCAATTTTCATTTGTGGGTTTCACAAAAATGTATTTGAGTCAAATCTGCCTCTAATGACTATCCAGTTTGTGTTTATTCAGTTATCATGGAAACACCTTTGTATTGAACCTGATTTGTCTTCACTCCTGTTCCAGATAAGCTGCACTTCAAGCCACAGTCGAGATTTAGCTGCAGCAATGAGCTCCCATCTGTGCCAGGCACCACCCAGCATTTCCTAGTCAGCCTCTGTCAGTAGCAGATCTGCCTCATCTATCGTCTTCTTCGTCGCCTCTTCAGACATCCATCGGGCACCCCCCCCCCCGACACCCTCACTCTCTCCCCTCTCGCCACCCCTCAGGCGCTCTGTGGCCGCTCACGGCGCCCCACTGTCAGGATGGGTATCCAGGAGCTGCAGAGGTACATTGAGGTGCACGCGCCGTCGGCCTGCGTGCCGGTCGATCTGCTGAAGCTGGCGCGCGGTGTGACGCTGGGCCAGCCGCGCACGCCCAGCGCGCGCCGCCGGCCGCCGCCGGCCGTCCAGCTGTGCCTGGTGCTGGACGCCGAGTCGTGCCTGGACCGGCTCTACGGCGGCTTCTTCTCCGGTGAGCTCAGCGGCAGCGGCCACTCCTCGGGGTGGCAGGCAGCTCGCTTTGGATCGATAGTCCCTTTTCGATAGTTGGCAAAGAGAATGCAGTTGTTGATTGGTCTATGATATCCTCATATTCCGATATTTGTACTTTGCTAGAGGACCCCAGTGTGATTATGGAATTGTATTTTGATAAGGTCGTGTTAAAGCCGGAGCTGGTATGAGCTGAGCTGTGTTTGTGGCTGTCCCCGTCTGCGGGCCCTGCGCTCCGCTCTGACGGCCGCGCCGCCGGTCCGCTGCCGGCAGACTGGGTGTGTGGCGGCGAGTGGGGCCGCATGATGCACTTCCTCACCGTGCTCATCCAGACCATCCGCACCAACAACATGGAGCTGGCCGTCTTCTTTTCGGGCGCGCTCGAGCTGCCGCGCATGCGCGAGTGGGTCGGCCGCCAACACGCCCAGCGGAGACACATCAACCAGACGCTCAAGCACCTGGCTGTGAAGGCCACGCCGCCGCCCAAGGTGTGGTGGACGGCTCCGGCGTGTCTGCGCAGCGCGCTGCGGCTGGCGCTGCGCAGTCTGGACGTCCAGGTGCTCTGCTCGACAGACGAGCACCGCCAGGAGGTGATGGCGTTCTGCCACGAGAACAGCTACCACGGCCTGGTGGCCGAGGACGCCGAGTTCATCATGCTCAACCCGCCGCGCCTCTTCTCGGCCCGGCAGCTCAAACTCACATACAAGGTGAGACGGCGGCAGCGGCCGGCGGCTCTGCGGGGATACCATACGTACCGTGCCGCGTACCAGTGCACACTGCACCCGTGGAGCTCACTGTCACTGACTGGCACGGCGTTCAAACACAGCTAAAGCGTTGTTGTTGTTGTCTTTGCCTCCGCTTCTTAGTGAAGTGTCTCAGAGGCGCCCAGAGCCTGTCGGATCTGTCCAGAGCCTGTCGGCTCTGGGCGCCTCTGGCGGCCGCCGCCACGCTGGTCTCCGGGACCTCCTCCGTTGCTACTTACCACAGCTACCGCAGCTAACGTAGATCACCGTGATGTGGACGTACTATGATAGGTAAATGCCTTGTGAGCCTTTATCATATTATTTTTTATTTAGTTCTATTATACCTTTTATCTTTTTCTTTGCACTTATACCCACTTTATAGCCAGCATTTACTGACTCAGTACCAAGAATTGCCTCTCTGCCTCTGGTCATAGATTGGGTGTGGTCACTGGTCACTACGAGGTAAATGGATGAACTGCGACAGCGGTCTGTTATCCCGAGTGAGACGCGGGGGTGCTGGGACGCCAGAGCTGAACTGGCCTGACACCGATGCCGCCTGACACTGGGTGGGTGTGCCGCTCCTCTTCAGGGCACGCTGGAGACGAAGGAGTTCATCCTGCAGCAGGTGGCGCGCGGCCTGGACCTGCAGCCGAACCGGTTCAGTCTGCTGGCCGCCCTGCTGGGCAACTTCCTGCTTACGGACCAGGACCTGGCAGACTTCCACGAGTCGCTGCTGCAGGCCAGCCAGGCCAGGGTGAGGCAGCGGGACGGGTCAGACAGGGTCAGAGCGGGTCAGACAGATAGGTAGGGTCGGAACAGGTCAACGGACCGGGTCAGACAGGGTCAGAGCGGGTCAGACAGACGGGATCAGAGGGGGTCAGACGGGGTCAGACAGGCAGGCAGGGTCGGAACAGGTCAGCGGACCGGGTCAGATAGGGTCAGAGCGGGTCAGACAGACGGGGTCAGAGTGGGTGAGACAGACAGGCAGGCAGGGTCAGACAGGGTCAGTGCGGACCGGGCGAGCCAGCGGGGCGGCAGACGGGACCGGGCCAGGGCCACTGCCTGCCGCTGTTGGACTGTGGGTCGGAGGGAGCTCTGCAGAGGTGTCGGCAGTGACCGCGCCCCTCGGTCGGCAGGCAGAGCCGCCCGGCACCCCGGCCGCGCCGGACGCCGACGCCGCGCTGCAGCTGCAGCTGGTCGGCGCCGTCCTCCAGTTCGTCCGCTCGCTGCCCTCCGTCGACCGGCTCGACGCCGTCGGAGAGCGCGTCTTCGGCGACGCGTCCGACCCGCGCGTGGCCAGGCTTAAGGAGAGTGTGGCCTACTTCGGCGACGGGTCGCGCGACGGCTACTTCCGGCACAAATCGCTCAGCGGTGGGTGGGGCGCCGCGCCCCGCGGTGCCTGGGGGTGGCCGCCGCTCAGTGGTGGTTTATGTGGGACAGTTTGTCGCCATTAATTGTCAGTGCACCCCACCCAGTTGTTAAACTTATGAAATTAATATGACAACGCAGTGAAGTTGTACAAAGTTCATCTCTCACGGTGCTACTGTCGTAAGTCGTAAGTCGCTGTCTCAAGCGGTGATAATGTCGCTGGCGGCTGTCTCACCCTGTGACACTGTCTGTGGCCGCTGTCTCTCCCTGTGATACTGTCGGTGACCGCTGTCTCTCCGGCCTGTGACACTGTGTGTGACCGCTGTCTCTCCCTGTGACACTGTCGGTAAGCCGCTGTCTCTCCCTGTGACACTGTCGGTGACCGCTGTCTCTCCCTGTCACACTGTCGGTGACCGCTGTCTCTCCCTGTCACACTGTCGGTGACCGCTCTCTCCCTGTCACACTGTCGGTGACCGCTGTCTCCTCTCCCTGTGACACTGTCGGTGACCGCTGTCTCTGCCTGTGACACTGTCGGTGACCGCTGTCTCTCCCTGTCACACTGTCGGTGACCGCTGTCTCTCCCTGTCACACTGTCGGTGACCGCTGTCTCTCCCTGTGACACTGTCGGTGACCGCTGTCTCTCCCTGTGACACTGTCGGTAAGCCGCTGTCTCTCCCTGTGACACTGTCGGTGACCGCTGTCTCTCCCTGTGACACTGTCGGTGACCGCTGTCTCTCCCTGTGACACTGTCGGTGACCGGGCTGTCTCACCCTGTGACACTGTCTGTGGCCGCTGTCTCTCCCTGTGATACTGTCGGTGACCGCTGTCTCTCCGGCCTGTGACACTGTGTGTGACCGCTGTCTCTCCCTGTGACACTGTCGGTAAGCCGCTGTCTCTCCCTGTGACACTGTCGGTGACCGCTGTCTCTCCCTGTCACACTGTCGGTGACCGCTGTCTCTCCCTGTCACACTGTCGGTGACCGCTCTCTCCCTGTCACACTGTCGGTGACCGCTGTCTCTCCCTGTGACACTGTCGGTGACCGCTGTCTCTGCCTGTGACACTGTCGGTGACCGCTGTCTCTCCCTGTCACACTGTCGGTGACCGCTGTCTCTCCCTGTCACACTGTCGGTGACCGCTCTCTCCCTGTCACACTGTCGGTGACCGCTGTCTCTCCCTGTGACACTGTCGGTGACCGCTGTCTCTGCCTGTGACACTGTCGGTGACCGCTGTCTCTCCCTGTCACACTGTCGGTGACCGCTGTCTCTCCCTGTCACACTGTCGGTGACCGCTCTCTCCCTGTCACACTGTCGGTGACCGCTGTCTCTCCCTGTGACACTGTCGGTGACCGCTGTCTCTCCCTGTGACACTGTCTGTGGCCGCTGTCTCTCCCTGTGATACTGTCGGTGACCGCTGTCTCTCCGGCCTGTGACACTGTGTGTGACCGCTGTCTCTCCCTGTGACACTGTCGGTAAGCCGCTGTCTCTCCCTGTGACACTGTCGGTGACCGCTGTCTCTCCCTGTCACACTGTCGGTGACCGCTGTCTCTCCCTGTCACACTGTCGGTGACCGCTCTCTCCCTGTCACACTGTCGGTGACCGCTGTCTCTCCCTGTGACACTGTCGGTGACCGCTGTCTCTGCCTGTGACACTGTCGGTGACCGCTGTCTCTCCCTGTCACACTGTCGGTGACCGCTGTCTCTCCCTGTCACACTGTCGGTGACCGCTCTCTCCCTGTCACACTGTCGGTGACCGCTGTCTCTCCCTGTGACACTGTCGGTGACCGCTGTCTCTCCCTGTGACACTGTCGGTAAGCCGCTGTCTCTCCCTGTGACACTGTCGGTGACCGCTGTCTCTCCCTGTGACACTGTCGGTGACCGCTGTCTCTCCCTGTGACACTGTCGGTGACCGGGCTGTCTCACCCTGTGACACTGTCTGTGGCCGCTGTCTCTCCCTGTGATACTGTCAGTGACCGCTGTCTCTCCGGCCTGTGACACTGTCTGTGACCGCTGTCTCTCCTTGTGACACTGTCGGTAAGCCGCTGTCTCTCCCTGTGACACTGTCGGTGACCGCTGTCTCTCCCTGTGACACTGTCGGTAAGCCGCTGTCTCTCCCTGTGACACTGTCGGTGACCGCTGTCTCTCCCTGTGACACTGTCGGTGACCGCTGTCTCTCCCTGTGACACTGTCGGTGACCGGGCTGTCTCACCCTGTGACACTGTCTGTGGCCGCTGTCTCTCCCTGTGACACTGTCGGTAAGCCGCTGTCTCTCCCTGTGACACTGTCTGTGGCGCTGTCTCTCCCTGTGACACTGTCGGTGACCGCTGTCTCTCCCTGTGACACTGTCGGTAAGCCGCTGTCTCTCCCTGTGACACTGTCGGTGACCGCTGTCTCTCCCTGTGACACTGTCGGTGACCGCTGTCTCTCCCTGTGACACTGTCGGTGACCGCTGTCTCTGCCTGTGACACTGTCGGTGACCGCTGTCTCTCCCTGTGACACTGTCTGTGGCCGCTGTCTCTCCCTGTGACACTCTGTGACCGCTGTCTCTCCTTGTGTCTCTCCTGTCTCCTGACTGTCTCTCCCTGTGACACTGTCGGTAAGCCGCTGTCTCTCCCTGTGACACTGTCGGTGGCCGCTGTCTCTCCCTGTGACACTGTCGGTGACCGCTGTCTCTCCCTGTGACACTGTCGGTGACCGTTGTCTCTCCCTGTGACACTGTCGGTGACCGCTGTCTCTCCCTGTGACGCTGTCGGTGACCGCTGTCTCTCCCTGTGACACTGTCGGTGACCGCTGTCTCTCCCTGTGACACTGTAGGTGACCGCTGTCTCTCCCTGTGACACTCTGTGACCGCTGTCTCTCCCTGTCACACTGTCGGTAAGCCGCTGTCTCTCCCTGTTACACTGTCTGTGACCGCTGTCTCTCCCTGTGACACTGTCGGTAAGCCGCTGTCTCAGGCCGTCCGCCCGCCCGCAGGCGCCCTGAACGGCAGCTGCTCGGTGCTGGCCGCGGAGCGCAGCTCGGACGCCGGCGGCGGCTCGCTCTCGGGGCCGCCGTCGGTGCCCTCGGACCCGGGGTCGGTGCTCGACGTGGCGCCGGCCGCGCAGACACGAGCGGGCGGCCGGACCGACGAGCAGGCCGACTGTCTGGCCAGGAGGTTCGGACTGCTGGGATTGGACAGTGAGTCTGGGACAGGGCCGGTGGGGAGTTGGGCCGGGTCTGGGACAGGGCCGGTGGGGTGTCGGGCAGGGTTGGTGGGGGGTCGGGGCTGGTGGGGAGTTGGACAGGGCTGGTGGGGAGTTGGACAGGGCTGGTGGGGTGCCGGGGCCGGTCTGGGACAGGGCCGATGGGAAGCAGGTCTGGGACTGGGACGGACCGGTGGGGTGTCGGGGCGGGTCTGAGTCCCAGGGTCTTATTCCTCAGACTCTGCGGTATCTTTCCGACCTGGAGCAATGTGCAGTGTACGACGGCGTGTATTTGTTTCACTCCGGCCCATCTGGTTTTGTTTGCAGTTAATTTACTTGTTTAACGTAACATTAATTGAATATTTTGACAACGGTTTCTTTGATATTGAGGTCTGTCTGTCGCTGTGGTAAGAGTGGTCTCACGGCGTTCCGATTTGTTCACCGGTGATCTCTGCAGACCTGTGAGATACCCTTCCCCTGTTCTGGAGCTGACCTGGGGTCGATCCTTCACGTGCCTGTGACCTGGGAGCTGTGGTCTGTGGTCCATTCCGTCCCTGCAGCCGTGGCCCATTCGGTCCCCTGTGGTCCCTACCCTATCGTCCCCTTTGGTCCGTCCCCTGTTGTCCGTCCGCTATGGTCCATACCCTCCTTTCCCCTGTGGCCCGATCCCTGTGATCCCTTCCTACTCTATCGTCTCCTGTAGTCCGCACCCTCCCGTCTCCTGTGTTCTGTACGGTCCCGTCTGGACCTGTGGTTCGTACCCTCCCGTCCCCCGTGGTCCGCACCCTCCCGTCTCCTGTGGTCCGTACCCTCCCGTCCCCCGTGGTCCGTACGGTCCCGTCTCCTGTGCCCTGTACCCTCCCGCCTCCCGTGGTCCGTACCCTCCCGTCCCCCGTGGTCCGTACGGTGGCGCCCCCGCCGCCGCTCTGACAGTCTTCTGGTGGCCGCCAGTGGACGCCTACGTACCGGGCACGGCGCCCGGTTCGTACAGCGACGACCGGCCCGCCAACGGACACTCCAGCGCGGTGAGTGGAGCGACTGGGCGCTGGGCAGCGCGGCCCGAGACAGAGGTCGGCGCCGCGTGCGCCGGCCACTGGACCGGGGGAGGGGTCACCGACACTCGTACCGGGACTGGGGACCGGGTGGGCAGAGACAGACAGAAACAGACTGACAGACAGATACAAAGACAGATAGGCAGACGAACGGAACGGAACGGAACGGAACGGACGGACGGACGGACGGACGGACGGACGGACGGACGGACGGACGGACGGACGGATGAACGAACGAACGAACGAACGAACGAACGAACGAACGAACGAACGAACGAACGGACGGACGGACGGACGGACGGACGGACGGACGGAGGGAAGGGCCGATGGGAAGACGGATAGACAGACGTTCAGACAGACACTGTCGCTCGGGTGGACAGAGAAACAGATGGACCGACAGAGCAGTTCATCGGTCGGACAGACTGACACAGACGGACACGGGCAAACGGACCGGCGGACACTAGACGGACGGAGGAGCAGTACATCCGGCGGACGGAGGGGCAGAGAGGCATGGACGGGCCGACAGATTGGCGGTCAGACAGGCGGAGACAGATGTTTTATACCCGAGGGCGCCACTGGTTCGGGGACGGTGCGGTGTTTTATACCCGGGGGCGCCGGTGGTTCGGGGACGGTGCGGTGTTTTATACCCGGGGGCGCCGGTGGTTCGGGGACGGTGCGGTGTTTTATACCCGGGGGCGCCGGTGGTTCGGGAACGGTGCGGCGGAGTGGTTCACAGGACGAGGGTCCCTGTACTTATCGCCTTGGAGGGCCACCTGTCACGGAGAGCCCGGCGGAGGCGCCGTCCGTTCTAGCGCGCCTATTTCCGGAGATGGAAGCGAATCAGGGCGGCGGGTGTGGGTGCGAGACTATTCTGGATGTGCTCTGGAATAAGGGCAATTCCACGACAAATCACCTAATTTTTTTCCAATTGTTCACCATGACCTCTCCGATTTTGCTCAAATTTGGCATGTAAGTTGACCTATGGGCACTACTTCGTCCCAGTAAATTTTTAGTCTCTAGGTCACAGGGGTCATGAGATATGGGTCATGCAAATTTTTAGGTTTTCCGGAACATTGAAAAATAAAGTATTTTTTATCTCTGCAACGGTTCACCGGATCAAAAAAAGTTATATATGAAATAAGAAGCGCAAAGGCTGGTGCGTCTAGCAAAAATGTGAACGAAACCCCAGGGTCATTTTTGACCCTTTGACCTCGTGACCTTTTCTTGACCCCGTGACCTTTCAAATTTGTCCTATTTTAAAAATTCTGATTTTTTCTATCAGAGATGTCTTATCCATGCTCTGAATAGTGGCATGTGATTTGGTTGGTATATCGGACCCGTTGACCTCAAACTGAGGTCAACAATGTGGTCATGACCTGACATGAAAATGACATCTGCCGAGAACGTCGAGAATCATAGGCAATATGGGTGTCATATGAAAGCTTACTTCACGGAGAATACATTGGTGGTGTTTTTGAGTAGGTATGGGCCGGGTCAAGGTCACATTAGGTCAGTGACCTAACACAGCATTGTGTTCTTTGAAGGTGGCGTATTTTATTTGTTTGGTAAGCCCAGTGATCAGCACACAATAAAAAGGAAACAAAACGTCATAAAACACCATCTGTCTTTATTCAAAAAGCACAGATAAAATGCATTCACCCATATACACACACTCGCACAAACACACACACACATACATACACCTTGTTCGAGGAAGATCTTTCAAACAAACCTCAGTAACACACGCGGTGTGAAGAACGAGTCTCAGAAGACTAGGAGAGCTTGAAGGCTGCTATGGTGTGGGAGTCGAGCGGTACAAAGCGGTGAAACGTCCTGGTACACCTACTACTGTACCTACTACCTACCCTTCACCGTGCGGGCACTTGTGAACCGTTCTCTTTCATTTTCGTCTTCGTTCCTGCTATTTGCGTTGCCGAAACGAAGAAGAAATGCATTTTATCGGTAAGGTGGTCCTCACAGTATTACCAATACCATAGCATGCGCTTTTGCCATGCGAGGTGGCAAAAAATCCACTCACATTGAACACCGAAATCCTCGGCATGATGACATATATTTGCAAAATTGTATTTGTTCTTGTACTGGGACGCTGCTCCGTCAGAGAAGTAGTGTATTTTTTAGTCTTGGGCATTCATTTCAAATGTGGGGAATAACCACTGCCTGAAATGCCGCTTCAGCTCCCGCGTCAGCTCCCGCAACGCAAATAGCAGAAACGAAGACAAAAATGAAAGAACGCTTCACAAGTGCCCGCATGGTGAAGGGTACCATGACGTTTCACCGCTTTGTACTGCTCGACTCCAATACCATAGCAGCCTTCAAGCTGTCCGAGTCTTCTGAGACTCGTTCTTCACAGCCCGTGTGTCACTGGGGTTTGTTTGAAAGAACTTCCTCGAACAAGGTGTATGAATGTGTGTGTTTTTGCGAGTGTGTTTATATGGGTATGTGTGCATTTTATCTCTGCTTTTTGAATAAAAAAGACGTTTTATGACGTTTTGTTTCCTTTTTATTGTATGCTGATCACTGGACTTACCAAACAAATAAAATACGCCACCTTCAAAGAACACAATGCTGCGTTAGGTCACTGACCTAATGTGACCTTGACCCGGCCCATACCTACTCAAAAACACCACCAATGTATTCTCCGTGAAGTTAGCTTTCATATGACACTCATATTGCCTATGATTCATGACGTTCTCGGCAGATGTCATTGTCATGTCAGGTCATGACCACATTGTTGACCTCAGTTTGAGGTCAACAGGTCCGATATACCAACCAAATCACATACCACTATTAAGAGCATGGATAAGACATCTCTGATAGAAAAAATCAGAATTTTTAAAATAGGACAAATTTGAAAGGTCACGGGGTCAAGAAAAGGTCACAAGGTCACAAGGTCAAAAAATGACCCTGAGGTTTCGGTCACATTTTTGCTAGACGCACCAGCCTGTGCGCTTATTATTTCATATATAACTTTTTTTGATACGGTGAACCGTTGCAGAGATAAAAAATACTTTATATTTCAATATTCCGGGAAACCTTAAAATTTGCATGATCCATATCTCATGACCCCTGTGACCTAGAGACTAAAAATTCACTGGGACGTAGTAGTGCCCATAGGTCAACTTGCATGCCAAATTTGAGCAAAATCGGAGAGGTCATGGTGAACATGCCTAGGTGATCTGTCATGGAATTGCCCATAACTAATCGGAACAGGTGCTGACTACTGGCAGCGAGAGCTGATTAATTTCCATAAATACATTTGCTGTTGTAAGAAAGTGAATCGGAGCGGGATGCTGCCAAGCCCAACTCGACAGAGACATTATGTCGGCGCTGAACTAATGTTATGAAAACAGTAGCACGTGAGGCTGCGTCGCCTGCTCTCCCTCTCTGTGGCGGTGTAGCTTTCCGCTCTTACTCAGCTTCCTCTGGAAACGGCCTGTAACACCGCTATCCGGTGCCCCCCCCCCCCGCCCCCCCCCCCCCCCCGAGCTGTGAGTAACCGTTCGCCCTCAGGCTGAGTGATCGGCCGGCCAGCTCAGAGGCCGTCCCCGCCCCCGGCTGTTAGTGCCAGCTCAGAGGCCGAGTTCCGCGCGCGGTGTCGGCGCCGCGCTGTTAGTAAACAGTCGGCCGAGGGCGGGCGGGCGGGCGTCGTCAGTGGCCGGGCTGACCGCACGCTGGTCTGAGTCAGCCGGCCCACTCATCCCGACCGGGCCGGGCCGGGTGCGCGTCACTGCGCAGTGCCCGGGCGGCCCGAGTCCGGTGACGGGGCGGACCACGCACACACACACACACACACGCACACACACACACACACACACACACACACACACACACACACACACACACACACACACACACACACACACACACACACACACACTGCGTGTCCCGTCCGGCGGGCGTGGGGGGGGGTGGCGAGCCAACTGCGGGGAGGGGGGCAGAGCCGGCGCCGACGGGCCCGGCTGGTCACCTGATCAGCGTTTGGGCAGCAGCTCAGTGTTGTCACTGGTTTCAGTTGTTGGCACATGTCGGTGAGCCTGGTGCAACATTCAGGTTGTTTTCAGAAGGGAAGGGTCAGAAGCCAGGAAGGCAGAGTTTCGTTGCTGGATCACCCGTGTGACTGGTGCCGTTAAATCTCTGCCCAGTAGCGGGCTAGCTCACCTGTCCAGGGCCCTGCGAGGGCTGGCGCTCACTCAGCCTCCATGTCCACAGCGGGGTGTGTCTGGGCGCTGAAGCCTGTATCTCGCCAAGAGGGACCGACGTTCCGCCACGCCGCGCTGCTGTTGTGGCTAGCATGCCCGCGCTGTAAGCAAAGGGACGGATATCTTTCGTTCAGCTTACTTCAAGTGACCTTTATTTTCCCAAGGCGTGGTTACAGTGTAATGTGGATTGACCATTTTATTGTCGAGGGCCATTGCGTAAGTTAATTCGAACACTGCCAAATTTTAACATGATAATTTTTATGAAATACTTTGGGCATTGTGGGACTATAAAATAACTTTGGATGTGAACAGCATTACTCTGATAGCAGCTGCGGTCCCGTAGAACCGCGGTAGTCAATGAGGTCCTGAAAGCTCTATGCTTCAGCCAAGCGCGTATTCATATACCAGCAATGATCCGCCCGGCCTGGAGTCGGAGTCAGCGACCGGGGCTGCCTGCATCTCGGCCTTACCCGGCTTCCCTGGAACCGTATTGTGCTCGCTCCCTCTGCACAGCGTTCTGGAACAAGGCAGCGTCGTACGTCTGCCTACGTAGAAACGGTTCTCCTCTGAACTTCGAGAAACCGAGTTGTGCCGCAGATGTCTGAGGCTCAATAGAGGGGTCGGTAATACGACGTGTCTGCCTATTCTGCCTACCGCTGCCCCCCCCCCCCGCCCCCTCAGGGCGCCGAGGGTCCGGTGGTGACGCTAACTCCCCCCCCCTCCCCCAGAGCACCGAGGGTCCGGTGGTGACTGACCCCCCCCCCCCCCCTCCCTCAGGGCGCCGAGGGTCCGGCGGTGCTGCTGACACCCCCACCCCCACCCCCCTCAGGGCGCCGAGGGTCCGGCGGTGACGCTGACGCCGCCGCCGCTGCCGCCCGTCACTGCCGAGGTGCTGCGAACGGCCGGCGAGCGGCACCGGCGCGGTCTGATGACACCCTGGGTGTACCAGGTCCTCACAAAAGTAAACACACCCGCGGTCACACCCGCGGTACTGCCGAGCCGGCAGGCGACGCGACCACTACTTCCTTCTGATGTACTGAACGTCAAAGGTCTTTGATTAAGAGCATCACAACAAGTTACTTTTCATGTTATGATCACATCACTACTTTGCAAAAGCAGGATTGATTGGACGATTTTATTATTGATTTGCTTTGCGATTGTCATCCGTTGTCTGCGTATGACTATCACTTCCTGTTTATGTGTGACTGACATTTACTGTGCGTAAGCGTTAGACCCCCCCCCCCCCCCCCTCTCCCTCTCAGGGTGGACTAAATATGCCGGGGTCTATGTGCCCCCTCCCCGAACTGAAAGTGCCAGTCAGTGTGACGCCCCCCTCCACCCCCCTCCCTCAGGGTGAGCTCAAGGTGCCGGTCTGTTTGACGCCCCCCTCCCCCCCCTCCCTCAGGGTGAGCTCAAGGTGCCGGGCAGGGCTGTGTGTGACGTACCCCCCCCCCCCCCTCCCCCTCCCACAGGGTGAGCTCAAGGTGCCGGTCTGTTTGACGCCCCCCCCCCCCCCCTCCCTCAGGGTGAGCTCAAGGTGCCGGTCTGCGTCGAGGACGAACTGAACCGGGAGCTGCCCAACGCGGTGCTCTTTTACCGGCCGGCCCGTGAGCGAATCTACGGCGTGCTGTTCAACCTGTACCACCACAGCTACCTGAGCCACCGCGACCGCGACAAACCGGAGCACGAGCGGCACGCGGTGCCGCGCGTCCAGGTCAGTCGGCGGCCGGCCCACCTCCTTGTTTGGTCATGGACTGCACGGTCCGGCAGGGCGGGGCGGACGGCGCCGGCCAGTCCGGCTGCACGTGCTGCCCCGGCCGGCGACGGGGCGCCGACGCGCGCTGTTGACACTGACTGCCTTGCGCGTGACGGCGCCGGTCGGCCGGCGCGAGCTGCCGGCGGCGCCGCGACCACCGCCTCTCCGCGCCGTGACGACGCCGGCGGGTCACGTGGCCCGTCGGCGGTGGGGGGGGGGGGGGGCGGCGCCCCATCATCGGCGGCGGCGGCCGGTCCGATCCGGCCGGTCAGCATTCGGCAGTCTGACGTCAGCCGGCGCCCTCTGCGCCTCGAGCAGCTTCTGCGGCGCACCAGTGGCCGCTGGAAAACGCCCCGTGGGCCAGCGGTCAGAATGACGCGTGCCGCGCCCCGCGGCACACTGCGGCGGGGATGTATCAGCCGCCGTTGGCCGTCGCTGCCTCTGATAGGATTGCTATGTTTCCGACAAATGCGGCCTTTCATTATGTAGTCGGTGGCTGGCGTCGCCGAGGGCCGCGCCGTGGCTGGGTGCGGTCCGGGCGTGGGTACTCACTACTCAGTGAGCGGTGTGAGCGGCGCGCCGCGCCAGAGTCACACCCGCGTCCTGAGCGGACAGAGTGTGCCGTCCTCCGTCCGCCACGTCAGAGTCACACCCGCGTCCTGAGTGGACAGTGTGCCGTCCGCCGCGCCAGCCGGGGGCACGCAACTCCTGGGGTCGGCTGGACCCGCCGCCGGGGCCATCCCATCGGCGTCCTATACTGCGTGCCATTTGTGCGTGCGTTTACTGAGCAAAGAGCCGCTCAGGCTGGACTAGGGCAGAGCGGGGGGGGGGGGGGGCATGGCGCCAGCCACCCATCGGAAAACAGATATCACAGAATGTACCGTGCATTGTTGCGCGCAACGGTAGTTTGTTTACTCTTTACGCGTGTACTTTCATCTAATTTATTTTCTCGAAAGGTGCTCTGCGTGGTATTCCCTCAGTTTTACAGTATGCAGGCAGGTAATATTTTACTGTTCATACCAGCTCTTGCCAGGCTCTATACGGCCGTCTTTCGAGTAAACGAACAGTGTCATGGACGGCTAAGGACAACATGACATCAAAAGAACATCACGGGGCGTTTATGTATAGGCAGACGTGGGGGGACTGCATCCAGGCGACTTAATTAGGGGCTGCAGTATACAGCGCCCGTCCGCAGTAAGGGGTAGAATGCCTGGTAGTCCCCTCAGGCATTACGAAGGAAACATAGCTAAACTTCATACAAACCCCTGCTGAAGTGGGAAGCAGCTGCTCGGAGTCGAACAGCTGCCTGAGCAAACCGCCGTTCCAAGACGACACTCGTGTCCCGGGGGATAGTTACACAGTTAGTTTCGGGGTTGTATCTGCACACGAGTTCGATGAAGTCGTGTGCAGCCGACGTGTTGCCGGACTGTTTGTTGTTCTCTGACCATTGGTCCGGGCTCATTCGTCGGCGAAGGGGCCCCCTTCATCTCCCACTCACCAGCGCGGCTCACGGTTGGTGATTATTTGTGCAGCACAGCTACCCACTGCGGCTAGCTACCGACTTTGTTAGTTAGCAGACCACGCTTTTCTAGTGGCTGGGAGCTCGCCGCGCTGTTTGCCATTCAGCCCATGTATGATCGAGGAAATCCCCCTGAGGGTAGTGTGAAGCCGTGTCCTTATGTGCAAACCGGGGACCGGCTGATGAAAGTACGCCTTTGTCGTCACCCTGTCTCGAGTTGTTGCAGATCTCGGGGCAGGCCTGAAGGACGTCTGTTAACGAACCCCGGGACCCATAGAGTATAGGTATACACAGCCGGGGGCGGCGGAGGGCGCCGGGCGGCCGCGTGGCTGACCTGACCTGACCTAACCCGACCCGACCTGTGACCGAGCGGTGCCGTCCGGTCGTGTGGTCGACCTGACCTGACCTGCGCTGCGCTGCCGCCAGATCCGTGAGTGGGTGTACAGCCGCAGTAACCCGTACAGGCGTCCGGAGCTGGTGCCGGCCCAGCCGCTGGGCTGGGGCGTGCCCACCGTGCAGCGGCTCTGGTTCGGGTGAGTACCGAGTGCCGAGTGCCGCCCTCACAGGGGTAAGGAGCCGCACCCCGGCCCGAGGGCGGTCGGCCGCAGCCTCTGCTCGCTCGTATGACGCGGCAGTCTAACGGGGCTCTGCAGCTTCCCGCGTCTGCTTTTGGCGGACAGACTGGTAACTGCACCGATTTGTGAGTTATGTGAAATGCGCTGATTGTCTGGAGAAGTAGCCCCTGCGGTCCCGGTGACGGCCGGGCGGGGGGGGGGGGGTGACTGCGGCCGGGCAGCGAGTTACCTAAGTGTGGAACTACAAGTCGATTCTAGGGCTCTGATTGGTGACTTTGGTCAGGGGATGACGCTTATAGCATGACGTCACTCGCGTACTTGGCCGGACCAACGGCGCAGCGCAGGCGCGCCGAGCCAACCCAGAGGCTCTCAAACTCAATTGTACAGATCCTGCGCATTGAATGGCGAAACTTCGGCGAGGTCGCTTGAGTTTGGAAGCCCCTGCCAGAGAACTGGAGACGGCCGGATTATTTGCTGGGCAGTGGGAAGCGCAGATGGCGATTGACGGTGCCAAAAAGATGATAGGGGAAAAGGAGTTGAGACTTGAGCAGTGAATTATAAGCCTGTTGCATAGCTGAGTCATGAGTGGTAAATTGTAAAATACTCAGGGGCATTCTGCCGAGTTATGTAAGGCGGAAGGGTCGCAACTCGCAAGTCGTTTGTTTCCATGATTGCCTGATTAAAATGTAAAGCGTATCTCATGTCTAGTTGATAATACAGCGAGGTTGGGCATCTGCTCAATCCATTTCTTCTCTGCAATAGTGCATTCGCCACTGTAATTCATTGTAAGAGGCACTGGGCTGCGCCGCCTGTTAATTATTCCGAAACCACCAGTGAATTCATTTGCTGTCGTCACAGTCACTCACAACAATACGAATCGTTCAGTCGTGCGCTGGGGGTCCGCTAAGTTTAAGTGTGCTGCAGAATGCAGACTGGACCGCCGAGAATATAACAATTCCGTCTCCCTGGGCGAGCGGCGCATTGGAGCCGAAGGAAACTGCTTCAGTTTTTTTTTGTGGGGAGGATACCCATGTTTGAAAATTATGTTATGGAATGAGGTGATAAGGAAAAGGACGGTTTCTTGAATTGAGGGCTGTGGAGAAGAGGCAGATTTTCTCATTTGCTACCCGATACAACGCGAAAAGACGCAAATGTTGCACATTGGGCTTAACCCGGCGGCCGCTGGGCCTCCGCGCCACCCGCCGGCCGCTGGGGGGGGGGGGGGCATAAAGTTGCCCCCCCCTTTACTTCTGCGACGATATCGTCGCAACGCGAAGAGATAGAGAAGCGAAACTTTGCACACATCTTCCTGAATACCTAGCCGAGGTTGTGTCCAAATTTGGTGTCGATCCCATTTGAAATGACGTCACAGTGACGTCATAAGTGAAATTATAGATTTGCGACTCTCATATTCCTCACGATACATCACATATATGGGACCGAATATAAAGGGCCGATTATTGGTCAGAAACTAGATGGAAGTGTAGTAAGATGTTTTAGGATGACAGCAGGTGCTGTCTAGTTCATTTACAGTCGAGTTTCATGCTCAGCGTCATCAGAAACGGTCCATAGCGGAAAACGACAAAACTTTATGACGTCACTGTGACGTCATCTTAGGTGCTACAACCACCAAACTTTCCTCAAACATTGCCTAGGTATTCATTTGAAGCTATGCCAAGTTTCACGTTCGTAGCTCATCAGGTTTCGGAGATATTTCACAAAACGTAAAGGGGGGGCAACTTTATGCCCCCCCCCCCCCCAGCGGCTCGTGGGTTAATAAGTCTAATAAAAGATAAGAGGACTTCGTGAATCATGCCTAATTGACCGCGACCAAGTTATTTGTCAATGCAGGTAGGCACTAGGTAGGTAGATACTCATTTGTGAACAGAACGTTCCCCCACCCCTCGCCAGAAACTCAATCAGCAGTTGCTTATTAAAACGTTTGAGTGCACCTGACAACCTTTAAAAATGACGTCCTCCCTTTCAATGGTTCGTGCGAAGACACAAAGCCAGAATCAGCCAAGCAATATCGGAATCCATTGCGCAGTGTGTCGGATGTGCCCCCAGTTTTCAATCCACATAGCATAGCACACACTGCTAAATGCAGGTACGCTCACCTACACATTAGGTATTCGAAGGACTTAATAGCTCATACACGTGGAAGAAACACATGAAATGTGATTTATAGCTGCAGCAGAAGTTTGGCGTCCGATGTCTCTTCGCCAAGTTAAGACCATGCCAATCTCGGCCAGTCTGCCGCCGCGCCGGCACTGGCCGTGGTGTGACGTCATCCGGCCGGCTCGGCGCTGGGTAGTTCCACACTTAGGTAACTCGCGGCCGGGCAGCGGGGGTGTGACTGCGGTATCGGTGACTGCGGCCGGGCAGCGGGGGTGCGGGCGGACGTCCTGGTCCGACCAGCCAGTGGCCTGGGTCCGCTCGTCCCACATATCTCGTTTGCCGGTTATGTAATGCGCTGCTCTGATTACATGCGCGTGTGTCCTGTCTTCTGTCGCCCGCTCGGGGCCGAGTTGAAACAGTGACCGCCGCTTCTTCGAATATCTGGAATATCGGATATCTGTCGGGCAACCGGACCCGGGCACTGGAAACGATAGGCATGGCCTGCTGCCTTATATAAGACATTAACCGCCGTCGTATAGCCGTCCAACCGTTCGCGATATAGTGCATTTGCCTCTTCTCAGGAGGCTGGCGTTTCGTTCCTATGGGCCTTGCAGCATATTGCCCAATCAGACGCAATCGGGCTCTTTCGGGCTCGTTGCCAGCCAGTGGCCGTTCGCGTGCGAGCCATGTAGGCAAACCTAAATCGATCCAAGTAGACTTACCTAAATCGAACGACATATTTACTATGTAGGCTACAGCAGAGTCCATGTACTGCCCGCGTGATAGTGGATAACGTCTCAAAAGCTGCCCTAACGTTTGGATGTTTGTTTTTCTGTTGTTTTTTAGTCCTGCCTCCCCTGCGAATAGGAATCACTATCACCGTGTAGGGTTTTGCCTGAGAGAGGAACGCTTCTGTAGGGTTTTGCCTGAGTAAGGAACGCAGTACTGGAGGCATTACCTTCGCAGTTTTGCGACAGTCGCCTTTGATCAGAATTGTAGTTTTATTCGGGTAAAATAAGTCTGTGTCGCCCATGCCGCGAAGCGGTACCGTGACATGAATATTCAGGAAGTTATGAATGAATAGTTATTAGTTATTAAGTTATTATATCAGGAAGTTATGAATATTCAGGAAGTTAGAAAAAGAAAGCAATAAAGTTAAGAAAGAAAGGAAGTAAGAATGTAAGGAAGGCTCCGGAATAGTCCTGCGTAGCTGCCCATTGCGACAGTGGCGTTCAGTGTGACTCCGACTGGTAGCGGCTGCGTTCATCTGTAGGTATTGAACTTGGCTCGGTAAGCCGGGCAGACGATATGACGAGGTCTGGCAGCGGCGGCACTGGCACCTAACGATGAGACTGGGTCACATGTGCGCTCTTTATTCGCCCAGTTTGCGCAAGATCGGCCACCTCGCTCGTTTCGCTGTACATTTTCTATCACAGCTTCAATCTAGTTCATCTTAAAGACATCAGTTGTGCGTGTTTTCGTCATGATGTGTGAAATTAGCCCCTATCTTTGTAGATGAATGTAGGAAATCTGCTGTTTGAGCTTCGTTTATTTCCCCTCTCCCATTGTGCGTCTTTATACGATTTTAGTTTTATTTGATGCTGTTACCAAATTTGTTTTTTTTGTGAATTTAGTTGACAAAGTTGTTTTATGTTACTGTGATTGGTGACACCTTCCTGCTCATGGCTGAACACCACAGACTTGCATCTGGTTTAACCACATTGGCGTCCCGTGGCCCTCGGGGTGGCCCGCCGACCCGCGGGACTGTCCCGCGGCGGGCGCCGCCGCTCGTGGTGTGTCCTGTTGCCGGGCCGGGCGGACCCCGGTGGCCCGCTGACCGGGTCGCCCCGTGACCCCCGCGTGTCCTGCTGTGGACTGGGGGCTCTCATTGTCTCCTGTTGCCGGGCCGGCCGGGCCGTATGTCCCGGCACGTGTCGGAGCTCCGGCAGAGGAGAGCGGCCCCCTGTCTGGGAGCCGGTGTCCGTGAGCAGCAGCTCAGTCTCCGCGCTGACCTGCCGCTGCGCGCTGCGGCTGCGGCTGCGGCTCCCCGGATGTTCACCGGCCGTGGCGCAGTCGGCAGACGCGCATCTGACGCCTCTGCTCTAATCATGCGTCGATAATGGCATTAATAACCCCGGCGGATCGTTTGCCGCCGCTGCGTCGGTCTGAACAACTGCGCGGCACGCTGGCTGCGCCTCCTCCTCTGAGCAGGCTGCTGTCCGTAACTGCGTGCTGGGAGCGGCTGGCCACGGCGGGTCGATCGCAGTGCGCCGCTTCCACTACCCACCTGCCGGCTCGGCGTCTGATGAAACAGGGCGCCCACGCACCGCGCGGCGCCCACCGGTACCGGTAGACGGACACAACTGGGCCGCGCAGGCTCCTCACACGGGCCGTCACAGCTCTCTCGGTAGCTTCTCCGCCGATCGGCCAAATCTTCCAATGCTGTGACGCCGGATACAGCTGGAGTTCGCGGAGATTATGCAATAGTTTATTTTGTGGACGTTCTTGATTCATTTATTACCTGTCCAGGAAGTAGGTGTCTTATCCCAGGAAGAGCCTTATTCGGGACATATTACCACATGATACCTAAAATACGTGTTGGTGAGTTTTAGGCATTGCTTTTGTAATGACGTAAACGCCGTATCAGCCATGGCATGGAGGGCCTTCATACTTAAAACTGGGACCTCTGAAACCTTTGGTTCTTTGCCGTAGACGTGTTTCTAACTTCAAAGTGCGTACCCGCCATTCAAATGGACCTAATTGCTTTATCAGTCAAGGTTGCCAACACATAAGGAATCAATTGTGAACATATCTGTGAATGGGAAGTTTGCTGCTCTCAGGTTACCTCATTAGTCATTGCCTTCTCGCCGGGGAGACTGCCGGATGTCCCCAACAGACGTGGTCACGTGCTGTGGCGTGTCATTTGGCTGGTGCCCGCCGCTCTGCGCAGTTCTCCGGGCTCTGGCGCCGGGTGGAGCGCTGCCCACCCTTCCCCCGGCCCGGCCCGAGTTGGCCCGAGGCCCTGGCCGAGCGAGGGGCGCCATCAGGTCACCATCCGGATCGGTCCGGTCCGGTCCGGATCGCTCCGGATCGGCCCGGTCCGGCATCCATTCGGCGCCGTGTCCCGGCCCGTGACGGCGCCTATGTCAGACTCTGATGGTGCTGCTACCATCTGACTTACGGGGTATCGTGACGTGACCGGTCCTACCCTACCAGCCCACCGACCACCGAGGACATCGCACCACCGCAGCTGAGTGACTGACATCGCAACACCGCAACTGACCGACTGACATCGCAACACCGCAACTGACCGACTGACATCGCAACACCGCAACTGACCGACTGACATCGCAACACCGCAACTGACCATCGTATCGTAGCTGACCGATGCGGGCCACTGGCAGCGGAGGCGCATGTGGTCAGGATATGGGCGCCTTCCGGACCGGAAACGCACTGGGACGCGGCGGCCGGCCGGTAGTGGAGGCAGCCCGCGTTACGCGGATGCTGATAGTGAGGGAGCTTCCCGTGATGGTTTTGTTTCGCCTGTTATGTAATAAGCTGCACTCGAATGTTCGCGCTGTTATGTGTTGTCTGAAGTTACATAATCGGCCGCCCGTTTGGGATGTAAGGCTTCGGAGGCGGGTAGGGGTAGGGGGATTACGGCGCAGCGGCCGGCGAACTGCGTCGGACCAGGCCAGCCACCGCTGGACTTGACAATGCATGTGTCGTAAATTTCTGCCCGCGGACGTCAAACACGAGATTGTGGCGCAGAACAGCGAATCCTTGTAGTTTGATAATGATAAAGCCTTCTGTTGAAACAGGCAGCGGCCGTATCAGCGGGATTCCGTCACCTTCTGGTACTATCCCAGCCGTGTGTTTTGGTCTCGAGTTCTTGTCCGTGTGCGCTGTTATCGGGTGCCTGTCCGTGTGTTCTGGTACTGTCCCAGTATATGTAACGTGCCGTGTCCGTACGCTCCCTGCCGGTGTGTTCTGGTACTGTCCCAGTGACTGTAACGTGCCCTGTCCGTGCGCTCCCTGCCGGTGTGTTCTGGTGCTGTCCTGGGTCCCCTGTTGTGTTTCCGTCCCCCGCTGTATGTTGCCGGTCCGTGTGTTCTGGCGCTGTCTCCCGCTATGTTTCCCGGTGCTGTCCCCTGTGGGCGTGTGTGTGTCTCGCGCTGCGCACCCCGTGCCTGACGTGGCCCGGCGCCTCCGGCAGGACGTCTGAGGACGACAAGAAGCGGCGACTGCGGGCGTTCCTCAGCTGCCTCCAGTCGGACACGCCCACCATCCGCAACACCGTCTACGTGCCCGAGCACCTGCTCGTGCTCGCCTGCGTGCTGCGGTCAGTCGCCGGGCCGGGCCGGGTACCACGGGAGCGGGCCGGTATCATAGCGGCGGGCCGGGCCGGGGGTACCACGGGAGGGGGCCGGCACCACAGCGGCGGGCCGGGCCGGGTACCGCGGGAGCCACGGGGGTACCACGGGAGGGGGCTCTCCCTGGCCTGAGGCTGCGGCCAGTCGCTGTGGCCGGACGGGTATTCACTGCACTCCCTTTCCGGTGTCACGCGTCACGTGGTGCTGTCGGCGCCGGGTGTCTGCTGTGTCCGCGCCGGGTGTCCGCGCCGCGCTCGCTGATGTGTCCGCTGATGTGTCCGCTGATGTGTCCGCTGCTGTGTCCGCGCCGGGTGTCCGCTGCTGTGTCCGCGCCGGGTGTCCGCTGCTGTGTCCGCTGCTGTGTCCGCTGCTGTGTCCGCGCCGGGTGTCCGCTGCTGTGTCCGCGCCGCGCCCGCTGTCGGCGCCGTGTGAAGGCGGGCGGGCGGGCTGCCCCGTGTGTGTTTGTAGCAGACTGGGCCCCTGGGAGACACCGGCCGCCGTCGGAGCGTTCGGTGCAGGTAGCCCGACTGTGTGCTGTCACCGCGGCCGGGCTCAAAGGTGCCGGCAGGCCGGGCCACACACTGCTGATCGGCAGCAAGGGGCAGGGACCGGGCCACACACCGCTACCCAGGTACCAGCCGGCCTGTACGAGCCACCATTACACCCGAACCGTCCGGCTGTGAACGCCGAGCTTTGAGCACGGACGTCTGAGAGCCGGCGTTGGCCCTGCCGTCCTGTCCGGCGGTTTTGTGAGCCGGTGGGTGGCGACGGCCGTGGGTCCGACGGTTCCGTGTCGTCCTCAGGTTCATCTTGAGCCAGACGTCCGGCAGCCAGCAGCCGTCCATCTACAAACCGGAACTGGACGCGTTCATCGCGCAGGCGCTCTGTCCCAAACTCGCCGACACGCAGTACCTGCAGGAGCTGCAGGTGAGCCAGACAACTCACCGACACGGAGCTGCAGGTGAGCCAGACAACTCACCGACACGGAGCTGCAGGTGAGCCAGACCACTCACCGACACGCAGTACCTGCAGGAGCTGCAGGTGAGCCAGACACCTCAGCGACTCAGCGGCAAACTCACCGATTCACTGACACCGACTCAGTGGCAAGCTCACTGAGTCGGTGGCAGCGACTCAGTGGCAAAACTCAACCGACTCAGTGACGAACTCACAAACTAAGTGGCACTCGTTGACTGAGCTCGGTGACAAACTCCCCGACTCAGTGTCACCGACTCACACTGTCTGAGCTCCCCGACTCAGTGACACCGACTCACACTGTCTGAGTTCCCCGACTCACACTGTGTACTCGCCGACTCAGTGACACCGACTCACACTGTCTGAGCTCCCCGACTCAGTGACACCGACTCACACTGTCTGAGCTCCCCGACTCAGTGACACCGACTCACACTGTCTGAGCTCCCCGACTCAGTGACACCGACTCACACTGTCTGAGTTCCCCGACTCAGTGACACCGACTCACACTGTCTGAGTTCCCCGACTCAGTGACGCCGACTCACACTGTCTGAGCTCCCCGACTCAGTGACACCGACTCACACTGTCTGAGCTCGCCGACTCAGTGACACCGACTCACACTGTCTGAGTTCCCCGACTCAGTGACGCCGACTCACACTGTCTGAGCTCCCCGACTCAGTGACACCGACTCACACTGTCTGAGCTCGCCGACTCAGTGACACCGACTCACACTGTCTGAGTTCCCCGACTCAGTGACACCGACTCACACTGTCTGAGTTCCCCGACTCAGTGACACCGACTCACACTGTCTGAGCTCGCCGACTCAGTGACACCGACTCACACTGTCTGAGCTCCCCGACTCAGTGACACTGACTCACACTGTCTGAGCTCCCCGACTCAGTGACACCGACTCACACTGTCTGAGTTCCCCGACTCACACTGTGTACTCGCCGACTCAGTGACACCGACTCACACTGTCTGAGCTCCCTGACTCAGTGACACCGACTCACACTGTCTGAGTTCCCCGACTCACACTATGTACTCGCCGACTCAGTGACACCGACTCACACTGTCTCAGCTCCGCGACTCACTGACACCGACTCACACTGTCTGAGCTCCCCGACTCAGTGACGCCGACTCATACTGCCTGAGTTCCCCGACTCACACTGTGTACTCCCCGACTCAGTGACACCGACTCACACTGTCTGAGCTCCCCAACTCAGTGACACGTCCGGCTCACACTGTCTGAGCTCCCTGACTCAGTGACACCGACTGACACTGCGAGTGAGCTCCCCGACTCAGTGACACCGACTCACACTGTCTGAGCTCCCCGACTCAGTGACACCGACTCACACTGTCTGAGCTCCCCGACCCGACTCAGTGACACCGGCTCACACTGTCTGAGCTCCCCGACCCGACTCAGTGACACCGGCTCACGATGTGTACTCCCCGACTCAGTGACACCGACTCGCGCTGTGTACTCGCCGACTCAGTGACACCGGCTCACACTGTCTGAGTTCCCCGACTCAGTGACACCGACTCACACTGTCTGAGCTCCCCGACTCAGTGACACCGACTCATGCGGTGAAATCGCCGACTGGTGCTGTCTGAGCAGCTCCCCGCGACTCACCGCTGTAAGATACGGGCTCCCTCGGGGGCCCGCCGTTGTGGACAGTGCCGACCGGCTCCCCTGCCATCCGGCGCCTCTCTGTGGGAGCGGGGTGTCAGTTCCGGTGCGCAGCGTCCAGTGCTCGGCCCTCCGTTACCAGTCCGCAGGCCGGCGCACCAGGCTGCCTCACCGAATCGCGGGCATCCGTTCAGACACACGGCATCAGCCCTATCGGATGACGGCACCCGAGCCCCGCACTACCCCCGGTACCGACTGCCCCTGTTCGCCGTGACCGCAGCCTGATCCCTGACCGTGGATCGCGGATTCACCCCGTTGAAGGCGGAGCTCCATCCAATCGGTGGGCGGTGACTGGTGAGCTGTGGCCTGTGACCATCACCTCACCAGCTGCCGGCGGTGACCTGACCTGTGACCTGCCGTTTCCAGTTGTTGTCTGTGACCTGACCTGTGACCTGCCGTCCGCAGCTGTTGTATGTGACCTGACCTGTGGCCTGACCTGTGACCTGACCTGTGACCTGCCATCCGCAGCTGTTGTATGTGACCTGACCTGTGACCTGACCTGTGACCTGCCGTCCTCAGCTGCCGTCCGTGACCTGCTGTCCCCAGCTGTTGTATGTGACCTGACCTGTGACCTGACCTGTGACCTGACCTGTGACCTGCTGTCCCCAGCTTTGTATGTGACCTGACCTGTGACCTGACCTGTGACCTGACCTGTGACCTGACTGTGGCTTGCCGTCCGCAGCTGCCGGCCGTGACCCCGCGCGGCGTCCAGCTGGGCAACCTGTTCATGCAGGGCGTCGAGACGGCGCTGTTCGCCAATGACGCGTGCGGCGCGCCCGTCCCGTGGGCCGTCTGCTGCCCGTGGCTCTTCTTCGACGGAAAACTGTTCCACAGGTGAGTGCACGGAGACGGGGGGGGGGCAGCGGGGCCGACAGTGGGCTCAGAGAGGGTCAGAGGGGCTTTACATACTTTACATAGGCCGGCAGCTGGCAGGGAGGAGGCCATTGGATCGCTTGGTGTTGATACCGATCGTGGTTGTCCGGCGCCTGCTGGGGTGACGGCCGGTCGCCGGTGCCGCCAGCGCGCGGCAGCCAGCCTCTCACCGCGGGCGGGCTGGGTGGAGACCTGAGCAGCGCGGCGGCGGCGGTGGCCAGTCCGGGCACTGGGTCGGACGCGCCGTGGCGCCCTTCGGCTGGCCCTGTCCTCACTATTGACCCAGTGACCTGGTCACTGGCGGCGTCCTGTCCTCACTATTGACCCAGTGACCTGGTCACTGGCGGCGCCCCGCCCTTCGGCTGGCCCTGTCCTCACTATTGACCCAGTGACCTGGTCACTGGCGGCGTCCTGTCCTCACTATTGACCCAGTGACCTGGTCACTGGCGGCGCCCCGCCCTTCGGCTGGCCCTGTCCTCACTATCGACCCAGTGACCTGGTCACTGGCGGCGTCCTGTCCTCACTATTGACCCAGTGACCTGGTCACTGGCGGCGCCCCGCCCTTCGGCTGGCCCTGTCCTCACTATCGACCCAGTGACCTGGTCACTGGCGGCGTCCTGTCCTCACTATTGACCCAGTGACCTGGTCACTGGCGGCGCCCCGCCCTTCGGCTGGCCCTGTCCTCACTATCGACCCAGTGACCTGGTCACTGGCGGCGTCCTGTCCTCACTATTGACCCAGTGACCTGGTCACTGGCGGCGCCCCGCCCTTCGGCTGGCCCTGTCCTCACTATCGACCCAGTGACCTGGTCACTGGCGGCGTCCTGTTTCGTTTCTGGTCACTGGCGGCGCCCCGTCCTCGCTAGTGACCTGGTGGCGCCCTGTCCTCGCTATTGACCTGGCGGCGCCCCGTCCTCGCTAGTGACCTGGTGGCGCCCCGTCCTCGCTAGTGACCTGGCGGCGCCCCGTCCTCGCTAGTGACCTGGCGGCGCCCCGTCCTCGCTATTGACCTGGCGGCGCCCCGTTCTCGCTATTGACCTGGTCACTGGTGGCGCCCCGTCCTCGCCGGTCACCTCTGAGGTGAGCTCACTGAGCGGTCTGTGTCTCCCGTTCCTGGAAGGAGCAGCCGACTGTCGCCGACCGCTGCTGCCGACACGGGGCTGGCTCGCGGCGCCGTGCCTCCCCGGGGTCGGTCGGAGAGCGGCCGTCAGCTCGGGTCAGCCGCGTCCGTCCGTCACCGACCGGCGTGGTTCCCAGAGCGGCTCGCTCCCGCCGCGGCGGCGGCTCCCGGGAACTGTTTGCTGTAATGTCGCCGAGGCCGTATTGACCATCGGCCGCTGCGTGCGAGTCGGTGCCTCTGACACTGGAATAGACCGTTTCAGACTGCAGTTACTGACTCCCACGCGGTCGGAGAGTCTGCGCCGGGCAGTCTCTGAATGTTGACAAGCGTGTGACAGGCGTGGCGTAGGTACTTAGTGTGGACTTGGCTAAGAAAGCTCATCATAACGTTGCCCCCAGTTGTACCGCTTTGGCCACCTGCGTCTCGGTATATCTCGGTAAGAAGTGTTTCACTGGAGTCGGCCGAGTGAGAATGACGGTAGCAATCAAAGCACGGATTATTGCATTATTTCGCAGCTGGTGTCTAGTTCGTGGTGCACCACGACGTAGTTGGGTAAATGTGTATGCTGCTCCCACCCCAAACGGCAGGCCTGTTGGCCTGAATCTCCTACTAAGAAGTCATTTCCCAACCCTTTTGTTAGTAATGCGCTTTCAGCTGAACACCAGTGTCATCGGTCTTCCTTGTCTGCAGTCTGCCGCTGTGTTTTGGTCATCCCCTGCAGTGTGCCGCTGTGTTTTGGTCATCCCCTGCAGTGTGTCGCTGTGTTGTGGTCACCCTCTGCAGTCTGTCGCTGTGTTTTGGTCATCCCCTGCAGTCTGCCGCTGTGTTTTGGTCATCCCCTGCAGTGTGCCGCTGTGTTTTGGTCATCCTCTGCAGTCTGCCGCTGTGTTTTGGTCATCCTCTGCAGTGTGCCGCTGTGTTTCGGTCGTCCCTGTCGGCAGTCTGCCGTTATGTTTGTTGATCGTCCGTCTGCCGTCTGTCGCCGTTCATCACGACAGCCCTGGCGCCGAGCACCAGTTCGGCGCCCGATTGAAGCTGGCGGGGAAGCTCACCGTTACGCTGCGGGTCGCGCCCCGTCGCCCTGTGTATACAGCGCCCCCGCGCCGGCGGCCCGGCGGCCGCTGTTCCGTATCTGTCGCGGTATCTCCCGGCCGGCGGATGGACGTCTGCCGTCCGTGCTGATAGCGATACCGGGTCGGTTCCCGGAGACCCTCTGCTGGTGCGCCGCTCTGCTGTTCAAAGCGCCGCCCGCCGCCGGGGCTGGCTGCTCAGCTGTGTGCCCGTGGCTCCCCTCCGGGGGCGGCCCTCCTTCCCTCCCGCCCGGGGGTTCCGCCCGGGGGGACGACCCACCGGGGATCCCCAGACAGCCGTGCACCCGGCCCGTCTGCCCGGTGTCCGCTGCGGGTATCCTGTGTCCGGTACAGATGTCTAGCCGTGTATCGGATCCCGGTCAGGGCCCGGGGCTGGGTGCTGTCCGGCGCCGGTCTGCACTGGGCTGCCCGCTGACGGCTGCCCGCCGCCGCGCGGCCCCTGTGCCCTCGCCGGTCAGTAGGCGATCGATAACAACTCCAATGATGCGGCACTGCGCAGCGGCCGGGAAACGTCCCGCCGGCGCTCTGACGAAAGCCCTGCGCCGCAGACTATACTTAGTTTATATGTTTACCGGCGTATGGATCGGGTGAACGCTTCCAACGTCAACTGGGCGCTGTTGGCGGGAGCACTGACCCGGTTACCGGGAAGGAGCGGCGGCGGCGGCTCTGTGTCCCGTCCCCGGGCGGAGGGGGCGGACAGCGCGCGGTCAGCGCTCACCCTCCGCCCACCCAGCCCCGCCGCGTCTGTCGGGCCGAGAGCGGCCACATCAGCGGCCAGTGTCCGCCCCGACCGCCCGTCCCAGGTGCGCCGTCAAACGGCCGACGCGCAGAAGCCGCTCCCAGGTGAGCCTTTCTGACGTAAGGCGGCTGCGCCACAGGGCGGCGTCTTCGCTCCTTCTGCCGCGGCGCCCGTGCCCCCCCCCCCCCCCCTTGGCCGCGGCCGCAGGGACCGTCTCCGTGCCGACCGGCCACGGCCTACTGACCGGGTTACGGACGTAAAGCGATCAGCACGGAACGTTAGGTTCTCCTCTACTATTATTTTCTTATTCAGACCCCTTTCCTTTTTCCGGCCTTTTCTTTATTTATTTGTATCGGCCCGTCGTGGCGTCGTCCGTCCATCTGTCCGGCTGTCGCTCGGCCTCATGGTCGGTTACCATGCGTACGTTATGCCCCAGGCAGTGCCGATCCCGGGCACTGCCTGGGTGTCGCCCCGGGCACTGTGGGTGTCGCCGTTTTCCGACCGTCAAGTAACTGGTCGACTGCGTCCGGTTACCTACAGGCTATATTTATTCCTGTTTTCATTTTAGGCTTAGTAGATTGTGATCTAGTCTGTCTGCTCAGCCTTATGAGTTGGCGTTTTTCTTCATAACTTACTCTCGATATTCGTCTAAAGATCTTTTGAGCACATAGGAACGGGTTAAAACTGGATTTTCACATTTCGTGGCGTTGATGTGTTCCAATATGTATTTACTTGGGCAGTACCCGCGGCGCGGCGCCGTCGCGGAGGTCTCCGGTCAGAGCTGTCAGACCCGGCCGGTGAGCTGGCGGGGGCCGGCTGGCCCGTGTTTGACTCCGATAGGCGGGAGGGCCCGTGTCGCCAGCCTCAAAGTCAAAGTCAAAGTCATTTATTAGAATTCTACCACGGGGTGGGTATTAAGAATCCGGTCAGGAATGTGACATGGTGACATAAGAGCTAAATGAGATCCAGTTAAAAATATATGATACTGATACAATGGCAAAAGCTACGTTAAAACACATCGACGATTACATTAAAACACTCGCGAACGCATCATCCGCATGTAGGAAGTTGACATCAGCAGGTTGACATTCTAAAATCAGGTGCCTGTGGCGGTGTCCTTCGCATTCCACGATGCTGCCGCTCTATATGCAAACTCCCGCTGAGTTCTTGCGAGCCGCCACTTCGGGAGCTGCAACTTCCCGGCTGCTACCGCGCGAGTGTCACGTGACGACACTTCGGCCCGGCGGGTGAACATGGCCGACATCGCGGGAGGACATTGGTCATTATACAGGGCCCTCTGGACGTGAACATGATCATGGCGGCGCAGCATCACATCCACCCTCTCCCAACCAAGCGACTCCAACGCCGGCGATATATGCTCGGACCGTCGCGTCCCGGTCACAAGTCTGGCGGCGAAGTTCATCGTCTTTTGGACGCGCTGCATTTGACACTTGGCGGCTCCTCCCCAGACGGACAGGCAATACTGAATGTGTGGGAACACGTGGGCTTGGACTAGGAGTTTAAGGACGTCAGGTGTGAGGTGGTGCCGGATTTTGTGGAGGGATGCGAGGATGGAGTTGCAGCGACGCACGACCATGGTTATGTGGGGATCCCACGTCAGGTGTCGGTCGAGCAGCACACCCAAAATTTTGACGGTCTGACTTGGCCGGATGTCGTTACCGGAGAGTGAGACGTAGAATGACTCGGTCTTTTTTAGAGTTTGCTGGGTTCCGATGAGAGTGATAAAGGTTTTGTTTTGGTTCATTTTTAGACTGTTGGCCTGGAACCACAGCTGGAGATCGAAGATTGACTGCTCGACACGACATCTGAGCTGAGAGAGGTCTGGGGTTGTTGGAAGTGAGTGGTCGAGGAGTTGGGTGTCGTCTGCGTAGGAGAGGAGTCGGCCATGGGTGAGGAAACAGGGAAGGTCGTTGATGAGGATGAGGAAGAGGATTGGGCCGAGGATGGACCCCTGGGCCACGCCATGCGCAGACGGAAGCCGAGCGCGGGTCGGGCTCCGAGGGCTGGCTGTGTCCGGTCACACCGGGAGTGTCACTGACACTGAGGGGGTCCGTGTCTCTGAGCCAGCCGACTGTCGCGGGGGGGAACGGAGGGAGGAGGAGCGTCTCCGGTCCTCTGGGACATCTGCCCCTCTGGGAGCCGCCTGCAGAGACCGGGGGACCCGCCGCCGTCGTTACGGCCGGCCGGGCAGGCGCGGTCCTGGCGCGATTTAGGCCGCCGCCCTCTCTCCGTCCACTGTCCGTCCTCCCTGCCGCCCACTGTCCGTCCTCCCTGCCGCCCACTGTCCTCCCTTCCCTTCCCTTCCCTCCCCTTCCCTCCGGCCGGTGATGCCCTGCGGTGTGCGGCGGTGCAGGTCCGACCGCCCGCACCCGTGCCGTGCTCCGGGTCTCGTACATTCCGTGTGCGCTCCTTCCCGTGCCGTGCTCCGGGTCTCGTACATTCCGTGTTCGCACCTTCCCGTGCCGTGCTCCGGGTCTCGTACATTCCGTGTGCGCACCTTCCCGTGCCGTGCTCCGGGTCGGTCGGACTCTGGTCCGCCGAGTCCAGTTCAGTTCCAAAAAGCGGCCATCAAGAGGGGATCAGGGTCGGGCGGTCCACTACTGCGCGTCAGGCGCGTCCGTCGGACCGTCTGACCGTCTGACCGGCGCGGCGGCCCGTCCCCAGCCGCGCACTTCATCGGCGCGGCGGCCCGTCCCCAGCCGCGCACTTCATCGGCGCGGCGGCCCGTCCCCAGCCGCGCACTTCATCGGCGCCGTGCATTTGACGCCAATAGGCCAAACACGACAGGACACGTGCCAGCTGCCTGGGTTGTTTCATTCAGTATGTTTTAAGCGTTGTGCTTTAGGTTTATAGGACACCGAATTGAGTTAGCTACTGATGGCGAGGTATGCATGTCGTTTGACGGTGAACCAAAGTTTTCGCCCGGTCCTGGTCAGTCTATCCATAATGTGTATTTTGTTTGATTATTTTTCGGAGCTTTTTATTTACCTTGCAAATGCATATTTATCAAATGACCAACGGTGGTTCGTATTGTGTTTTGCGCCCCGGTGTCGGTTGGCACCGGTTCATGTGGGGGTCAGTATGTGTGTCTGCTCTTTGAGCTGCCGTGAGCTGCCGCCCGCCGCGGCCCGCAGTTTTCCCTGACGCCGTCCCTCTCCGGCAGCTACCTGCTGAAGGCCGCGCAGAGTCGGAACGTGACGCAGCTCTGCGACGACCGCGTGGAGATGGTGGCGCAGCTGGAGATGACGCGCCAGGCGGTGCTGGAGGGCCTGCCGGTGCAGTACGGCCGGCCGCCGCTGCTCGGCGCGCCCGCCGCCGCCGCCCCCGCCCCCGCCGGCCGCGGTCGGGGGCGCGGCGCGGCGCTCTCGGCCGCTGCCGCCGCCGCCGCCACCGACCCGCCGCTGGACCGGCGCGGCGGCCGTCTCGAGGTGGGCGGCGTGGTGGTGGGCTCGTGGGCGGCCACGCCGTCGGGACGGGGCGGCCGGGGCGGCGTCGGCGGCGGCGGCCTCCTGCCGGCCGGGATGCACCACCACCGAGAGGTGTACGGCCGCTCCAGCCTGCCCAAGGCGCCCTCGCGGCGGCCGTACGCGCCCAGCGGCAAAAAGCAGCAGGTGGGTGACCGGAGCAGCAGGCATGAGATGGCCCTGACGTGCCCCTCCAGGGGCTCAGGTGCGCAGTGTGCCCTATGGGTGGGGTATTTGGGTAGGGGAGAGTGGGGTAATTTGGCCGCTTTTTTTTTTAGAAAACGATATAACTTAAAATTGACGACACATTTCTGCATTTTCTCAACGCTGGCAGGTGTCGTATTCATTTTACTTTACTGGACAGTGAACTTGAAATGATAGAGTAATTACTTATATTGAAATTGTGACTATTACAAAGGTCTGCAAGGCGGCCAAATTGCCCCACTAGCAGGGTTATTTGGCCGGGGGTGTGGGGCAATTTGGCTGGTGTTAGTTTGCGGTCGGGATTTTCTGTTATATTGCGAGTCAGCTTCAAATTCAGCAATGACGTGTGTCCTATGACGCATTTGCCGCATTTTGGAGGTTGACTCAGGGGTCACAGGGGTCAAAATAGCCAAATTAGCGGCTCTAGATGCGAAGACAGTTTTTTACGAATAACTTTTGAAGTAATCAAGCTAGGCCAAAACTTTGAGTACCATCGTAATTCTCTCGTCAGTCCGCATCGAAAGATATATGTGTTGACCTTGAGAAGTCAAGGTCAAAGGTTGACCTCAGGTCACGTTGCATATGGTCGCTTGACCTCAAGGTCACGTGATTTCAAGGTCATCATGCATATCATTCGATGCGCCTTGGCGAGCTGAACAGAATGAGACCATTTGTGCGGCTGTACCATTTTTTTGTAAGGATTTATTAGCAAAAAACGTTTGGTAACCTTTGATGACGTCACATGCTCTTACAGTTGACCAATCGGAAGTAAGGCATCAAAGTAGTCAAAGTTGGTCATGAATCATGTCATTTATGGTACAATTGACCATGAAAACTCGGCCGTCCCAGCATATAGACCATGAGCGCACCGGCCAAGTTGCCCCGCTAGTCCCGGCCAAATTACCCCATATTGTCATTCTGAAAAATTTTGTCTATAAAGTCATCGCGGCTATATGGAACTATATAAAATTGCTGTTGGAACCGCTGAACACCCCCAAGAATGGCGCTATAATGTTTGAATTCGTTTCTAGCCCAAATACTACATGTTATACAACTTTGTAAACAGAAGTAAAAGTTACCATTTTCTAATGAAATTGAGGTTTTATTAATTTTGAATAAAACTACGAGGGGCAAAGTTTTGACATTTGTCCTCCAGTTATTTCTACCCATAACAAATGAATAGAGACTAGAGCTATTTCACTCACTTTTATTAGACAGCGTACAGGTGGGGGCGGCCAATTTACACCACCGGCCAAATTACCCCACTCTCCCCTACCTATCGGACTGAGGCTAAGTGCGGCCAGGGCCGCCGGTGACGCCTCCGCCGCTGACGCGACGTGTGTCCGCTCCGGAGAGGCTGACCATGTGTGTGACGTGTGTCCTTCAGTGTCCGCTGTGTGTTCTCTGTGTGTGACTCGTGTCCGCTGTGTCCGTTATGTGACGGGTATCCGCTGTGTCCGTTATGTGACTCGTGTCCGCTGTGTCCGTTATGTGGCGGGTGTCCGGTGTGTGTCCGTTATGTGACGGGTGTCTGCTGTGTGTCCGTTGTGTCCGCTGTGTGTGACTCTTGTCCGCTGTGTCCGTTATGTGACTCGTGTCCGCTGTGTGCCCGCTCGGCAGGCCCGCTGGAGGGGCGCTGACGGCCTCGACTCGGACAGTGAGGAGAGCCTGCTGCCGGCCGGACGCGCCATGACCGTCGACCTCCCCGACACCAGGTGCGTGTGTGTTCGCGCAGACGGCGCCGCGGCCGAGCCGGGCAGCCCGCGGCCGTGTGAACCACATACCACACATCACTCCGTGCAGAACAAATACCCAACAGGAGGACTCGGCATAGCAAACGGTATTGTGCACGCCGCGCCCACAATTCCGGTGTAAACTAATCGCAGGATCACACTCAGCTGTACCACGCGGACGGTCTCGTTTGGCGCTGCGGCGTCACGCCGTGCGCCGCGCCCCGCCCGTGAGCCGGTCGTGTCCGCTCCGGCGCGTCCTGTGTGTCTGTGGGCGCCAACTGCGCGCCGCCCCGTGGGGGTGAGGTCGGCAGCGTCTCCGATCGGCGGCCGCTGAGGGACGCCCTCGGCCCGTGGGCGAGCCGGCGGCCGCCGGCACCGACAGACACCGGCGGTGGGCCGTCAGCTGGTGCGCCACACGGGGCAGGACCAGCCCCCCCCCCCCCGGCCCTCCCCGGCCATCGGTGACATGATGCAACCAGCAGGAAGCGCACCATTCATTCCTTCGTTCATTCATTCATTCATTCATTGTGCCATGTGGGCGGCGAGCGCAGGAAGGGGTTCAGCCGGGCGGGCGGACTGCTGGGGGCCAGTCCGGCGGGCCGGGGCTGGGCCAAGGGCTGTGGCCTGTGGGTCAGGCCGGCGGGCCGGGGTCGGGCCGGCGGGTGGAGGAAGGGGTCAGTCTGCCGGGTGACGGCCGATCGCACCCCGCTGCCGATGTATGGGTGTGTGGGCCGGCCGGCCTGTCGTGGCGCTGATAGGACCCAGCCTGTCCATCCCAGCTGAAGAGAGGAGCCCCAGTTCGGGGGTGGGTGAAAACTAACGCTCGGCAGTACCCACCTCCATACACCCACCCACACGCCGCGTACTTGCACTCAAGACTGGGCGTGTATAGTCGCGCCGTAGCTGAGTCCTAGATAGCCGTTCTGACCTGTACCCTCCCTCCTCTTGCAGGGAAGTCGGTGACGCGTCGTTAGGAGGCTCCGGTAGCGAGGTGCCCGGTCAGTATCAGGACGCGCCTCTGCTGCACGTTCAGTAGCGGCGCGCGCTGCGGTCAGGCGCCGGCCGGTGTCTGTCCGTGACACCGGGTGGACGGAGACGCTGCTGTCTGTCTGTCTGCCACACCGGGTGGACGGACAGACCGGCCGGTGTCTGTCTGTGACACCGGGTGGACGGACAGACCGGCCGGTGTCTGTCTGTGACACTGCCACACCGAGTGGACGAACAGACCGGCCGGTGTCTGTCTGTGACACTGCCACACCGGGTGGACGGGATGGGACAGACCGCTGTCTGTCTGTGACACTGCCACACCGGGTGGACTGGATGGGACAGACCGCTGTCTGTCTGTGAGACACTGCCACACCGGGTGGACGGACAGGCCGGCCGGTGTCTGTCTGTGACACTGCCACACCGGGTGGACGGAGAAGCCGGCCGGTGTCTGTCTGTCTGCCACACCGGGTGGACGGACAGACCGGCCGGTGTCTGTCTGTGACACTGCCGCACCGGGTGGAGGGAGACACGCCAGCCGGTGTCTGTCTGTGACACCGGGTGGACGGAGAAGCCGGCCGGTGTCTGTCTGTCTGCCACACCGGGTGGACGGACAGACCGGCCGGTGTCTGTCTGTGACACTGCCGCACCGGGTGGAAGGAGACACGCCAGCCGGTGTCTGTCTGTGACACCGGGTGGACGAACAAGCCGGCCGGTGTCTGTCTGTGACACTGCCACACCGAGTGGACTGGATGGGACGGACCGCTGTCTGTCTGGTCTGTCTGTGACACCCTGTGGACAGGACCGGACCGGACAGGCCGTCGTCGGGAGCTCAAGGACCGTCTGCCCGCCCTCCCCCGCTCCGGCAACCTGTGATGGACTGTCACTCCACCGGGATAGTCGACCCGCAAACCGACACGGAATTCCATAATAGAGCTCGCATGCTGCCTGCTGCCCATGTGCCGGCGCGGTTGTCAGTCGCCATGAGTGTATGATGTTCGTTGTTGTGTATCTCGGTATATGCGTGTTTCCTCAGAACGGGTTCGGTCAGTTGTTCTCTGGTGTCCGCCCTGCCCTGTTCGGCACTGTACTGACAGCGGTGCCCGGTGGCCGGGCTGTGCTGTGTGGATGCGGGCGGAACTCGGTGGCCCGGCTCCGGCCCGCCGCGTCAGTACCTGTCTCTGCGGCGCTCAGCAGTGCTCTCTGTGACAGCCAGTGAACGGCCGCCAAATCGCCAATGTCAGGATCGCTCGGGGACTGCAATAGATAATGTGACGCACTGGCCGGCTCCGGTGTTTGGTTGTGAGGCCCAGAAGCACCGTTTTGTTGAGTGACGCCGATGGCGCTGTTCGGTTGTGTACCTGGTGTAATTGTAGAGATTGTGTGGCTCCGATCGCGTCTGTGTTCGAGTCCAGTGGCGGCGGCCGGTGCCGTCGGCCAATCGGTGAGGGCCGGCCAGAGGTGGCTAGTCCGGCCGCTGCATTTTTACGTCCCTGTTGAAATACAATGTCAATCGTCAGCGCGCCTCTCCCATCTCCCACCGGTTAGCGCAGTCTGTCAGCCCGGAGAGGGGGCTCCTAGAGCCCGGAGAGGGGACTCCTGGAGCCCGGAGAGGGGGCTCTTGGAGCCCGAAGAGGAGCTACCACCACAGCCCGGAGAGGGGCTCCCACAGCGCGGAGAGGGGACCCCTACAGCCCGGAGAAGGGGCTCCTACAGCCCAGAAAGGGGGCTCTTACAGCGCGGGGAGCCGGGAGAGGCTCCTACAGTAGGGAAAGGAGGCTCCTGGAGCCCGGAGACGAGCTCCCACCACAGCCCGGACAGGAGCTACCACCACAGCCCCTCTCCGGGCTCTCACCACAGCCCGGAGAGAGGCTCCTACAGCCCGGGAAGGGACCCTATAGCCCGGGGAAGGGACCCTCGCAGCAGACCTACAGCCCGGGGATGATCTCGTACTGCCAGGGAAGGGGGCTCCTACCGCAGCCCGGAGAGGGGCTCCTACCACAGCGGCTGGCAGAGGGGCTCCTACCGCAGCCCGGAGAGGGGCTCCTACCGCAGCCCGGAGAGGGGCTCCTACCACAGCGGCTGGCAGAGGGGAGGCTCCTACCACAGCGGCTGGGAGAGGGGCTCTTACCGCAGCCCGGAGAGGGGCTCCTACCACAGCGGCTGGCAGAGGGGAGGCTCCTACCACAGCGGCTGGGAGAGGGGCTCCTACCGCAGCCCGGAGAGGGGCTCCTACCGCAGCCCGGAGAGGGGCTCCTACCACAGCCCGGAGAGGGGCTCCTACCACAGCGGCTGGGAGAGGGGCTCCTACCGCAGCCCGGAGAGGGGCTCCTACCGCAGCGGCTGGCAGAGGGGAGGCTCCTACCACAGCGGCTGGGAGAGGGGAGGCTCCTACCACCACAGACGGGTGGTCCTTCCGCCCGAAGAGTATGGGCTCCTGCCGCTATATCCGACACTCACTGGTAGATTGCACCGTTTGTGACCGTGCCCGCGACACCGGTGGTCGATGACGCCGGCGCGTATATCGATCTCCGGCGCGGGACGCGTCACCCGGAGGCGGCCCGCGTCACCGGCCGCTGACGGCCCGCGTCACCCGGAGACGGCCCGCGTCACCGGGAGACGGCCCGCGTCACCCGGAGACGGCCCGCGTCACCCGGAGACGGGACGCGTCACCGGGAGACGGCCCGCGTCACCCGGAGGCGGGACGCGTCACCGGGAGGCGGCCCGCGTCACCCGGAGGCGGGACGCGTCACCCGGAGACGGCCCGCGTCACCGGCCGCTGACGGCCCGCGTGCAGCTGTTCGGAAAGCTCCCGATTGTCGCGTGGGCCGCGGCGGACCGGGTTCGGGCGGCCGCGGCCGGAGCGGCGCTGGGCGCTGACGTCGGCCGGGCTCGGCGATAGGACCGTCCTGCGACCGACGGCCGGCCGCCGGGGAGTACCCGGAACAGTGCGCAGCCGCTCACGGAACCGGCTTCTGCGCGCCGCGCCGTATACAGCCTATCGGTGACTTTTGATATCGACTCTGCGACATGGCGCGGGTAACGCGGTGAGCGGGTCAGCGGGGACACCTGGAACAAACAGCACGGCGAGGTCACTGGGTCTGTTTGTCGCACGCCGCTGATGCCGTGTGTGGGTCGTCCCGCACCCGAGTCTCCCCCGTGGGTGCACGGTGCGAGACCGCCCCCGAGCTGTCGGTGGAGTCATCAGCCATTCTGTAATGACATAGGCACTTGTCCAGGCCCCGCGGGTATCTATGCCCGGGTGTGTTGTTATTTCTCATCCGCCATGTTCGGGAGCGGCCGCCCTTGAGCCCTAATATCGCAACGTAATCTGTTTACGCGATATGAGCCAGCTACGAACGGTGATACGTCGCACTGCCGGGACGACGGAAATAGAAATTAATTATTTTCGTATCAAATGGCATCCGGATTTCAAGTCTGAACCGAGCCTTTTGGGACACGGCCGTCGTGGCGGTTCTGGAGTAAAAATACACAGATGCTCCTCTGTGGGGGATGGTCCGTGCGCTCGGTCGTGCTGCACCGCCCGCGGCCGGCTCATTCGCAGGTGCCCCGGCTGGGCGGCCGTCGCGCGACAGGTTCATAAGCCGAGGTGTGCCGCCGCCGTCTAGACAAAACGCCTGTAACGCCGGCCCGCAATCCAGGAACTGGCGCCGAGTCGTGACCAGCCGCGGATGGAGCAGTGATTAGCTGTCCGTCTGGCCGGGGCCGGCCCTCCCCGCCGGGCCCGGTTTGGCCGTGTCGCAGGGTGGGGTCATCGGCGCCGCTCCCGTCGCCGTATCGTGCCCAGTGAATTAGCCGAGGTGTGGTGAATGTACCGACCCGCCGACAATGAATCCACTGGGCGGCCGTGGCAACACGGAACAGCCGAGCCTGCCCGCACTGGGCCAGACGGCCCCGGCGAGATGGGCCTACCTAGTACCTATATGTAGGTGTATGAGTAACTACGTATGCTTTTGAAGCATTTGCGTCAATCCAATTGTGGCACTATACGAGGGATGGTTTGTGAACGGTAGTTGTGAGTCTTTTGAACAATAAGATGGAAGCACTCGTACCTAACACGGAAAACAAGCTGCAAAACTGAGCGGAGCACGTTTATAGGTACGGCCCAGTTACCAGGTCGGACTGCATCTGAACTCTGGGCGCGGTGCAGGCCGGTTCGTGTGGTGTATACCTACGGGTCCCCCGGCCGTCGCACTGTCGGCGACGGACAAATCGGCGTACGGCGCCGCGACACACAATACGACGCCGCCAGAGCTGGCTTCGATCGTTTGGTTAGCGGCTCGGAGCAGACTGGCGGTCGGCCGGGCTCGCACGGTGACCGGCCAGGCTCGCACGGTGACCGGCCGGGCTCGTACGGTGAACGGTCCAGTTCGAGCTGTGACCGGCCGGGCTCGCACAGTGACCGGCCGGGCTCGTACAGTGACCGGTCCAGTTCGAGCTGTGACCGGCTCCGTCAGCGGCGGCCGGTCCGGGCTGCTGATGCCAGTCCGGCCCGCGCTCATGAGCCGTGGCTGGCGCGCCGTTCGGGCGGCGTCTGTCCATATGGGCGCTGGGTGCGGCCCGGCGACTTTCGCCCGCACGGCACGGACGCGAAGGTGCTTCACGGCTGTCCCGTGCATTATCTGCCATCGCGACCGACAGCGGTATACGACCTTCGCGTGCGCCTGGCCATCCTTGACGGGGTGAAAGCATTCCTGACACTTGTATATGTCCGTGCGCTGTGTTCGGCGAACGGCGCTGCACTGGGGTTTTCTGGCGTCAGGAATGCTCCGTTAGTCCCGGTGCACGCCGACAGCGGCCACGGATCGGTTAGGAGCAGACCCGTCCAGTGCTGTCCGGGACCGGCGCGTCCGTGCCCAGCCACTGAGCGACACACGCCAGCGGCCGACTAACGGCCGGCCGGCCCTGCTCGGCGAGAGAGAGAGAGAGAGAGAGAGAGAGAGAGAGAGAGAGAGAGAGAGAGAGAGAGAGAGAGAGAGAGAGAGAGAGAGAGAGAGAGAGAGAGAGAGAGAGAGAGAGAGAGAGAGAGAGAGAGTTTGGTATCGGTTTGGTATCGGTATACCAAAAAGTTGGTATTCGATTGACATCTCTAGACTATGAACTATCGCGGGAGCGTCACACCCCGGTACCATCAGACACCCCGTACCATCGGAAGGTCACACCCCGGTCCCCGGTACCATCGGAAGGTCACAACCAGCGGTGTCACCGCCGCGACAGGCCGCCGCGCCGCGCCGATGCGGTAGCGGGGTCGCCAAGGCCGGCCGCCGCCACCACTGCCACCCCAGTCCCTGTCCGTAAACGGCCGGCCGTCGCGGCGGCGCGGCGCGTCCCTCTGCCCGCCCGGATACAGCCACAGCTCCGTCTGCGGTCGCGGACGGTCCCACGACACCCGGGAAAAAAACGGGCCCCGAGCCACGGCCGGTGCGTGGCCCGCACAGGTATCCGGCGGTCCGGGCCGGACGGTCGCCGGCTGCCCCCCCCCCCCCCCGTGACTGGTGAGGGGGCGAACGAGCACGGCCTTGTCTCGGTTACCGGGAAGGAGCCGCCGCCGCCGCTGCGGGCGGAGAATGCTGCGGCTCCTCTGTCTCCGAGCGGCCGCTGTGTGAGCGGTTACCGGGGCCGGCCGGGCTGGGCGCCGGGCGGTATAAGTGGGCTCGCATCCACCGTATGTCCGCACCCGCGCTCAAGACAGCTACACTGGGGTGACGTGCTGGGCACCCACAAAGAGATATAAAACTCCACCCCTGACGTACTGACTTTCGCTTGTGCCTGTCCAGTAAAAGTGCAAGTGTGTGCGTGCTTACAATATTCCTGTAGCTTTCGATAATCATGCCAAGTAGGCCTACCTGCCTACTCTGCGCCCTTTCCATCAGATATTGAGCTCTCACGCGTCCTTCAGGCCAATTGCCTGGCACATCGCGTCCGCTCTCCATCACCTTATCTCACGGTATCGCACGGCGGACTGGCCCTCCTTTCACCCCCCCCCCCCCCCACCCCCGCCCGCTGACGGCGGACTGGCGGTGAGCGAGCGGCGCGCCGGACCCGGTCCAGCTCAAGCTGTTCCCCTGCAAACAGCGAGCTCACTCGTCTGGTCTCCGACCGTACGGACGACAGGTGACGGGCCAAGCGACAGTGGAGCGGGTGACATGGGGTCGGCAGGTGGCCGGCAGGTCGCGGCCGGCGTCTCACCTGGCCCCCTGGCCGGCCAGGGGCGCCGCGGCCCGCGACCGGCAGCCATGGGTGCGTCCTCCCCCGATTGAAGTGTATCCGGCCGGGTGCGGCCGCTCAGAGGTCGTCGACTCCAGCATCGATCGTGGCCACGGCGCGGTCTCTGGCGTGCCGCGGAGGACCGCGCGGCACCGGCCGCGGCCGCGCCCCGACCAGTCGACGGCACGGCGGTCACGACACAGCCGCGGGGCTTGGAAACAAATGAACATTGCAGCGAACTAAGCAAATTCCTCCCTTTGCCCCGGCAGGAATCGCTGATGTGAGAAGGCC